GACAGGAGACCGGCTTCGTCCTCATCCCTACTACGTGATGTTTGCTGGATGAGTGGTGACACCTGGCGGGGATAGCTGATCGATTGATAGTTGATCAGTAGTCGACCGGCGAGGGCGGGAGATCAAATTCAATTTAAAAAAAATCATAATTAAAAGAACTTGAAATTATAAACTCTGAATAAGAATTTATCGTACTACAATTNCAACCGCCGCATCATCCTCCATCACGACAATGCGAGTTCTCACACCGCGCACAGAACAAAAGAGTTTTTAGAGCAAGAAAACATAGAATTATTAGACCATCCGCCGTACAGCCCCGACCTAAGCCCTAATGATTTCTATACTTTCCCTAAAATAAAGAATAAATTGCGTGGACAGAGATTTTCATCACCTGAAGAAGCTCTGGACGCCTACAAAACGGCCATTTTGGAGACCCCAACTTCCGAATGGAATGGTTGTTTCAATGATTGGTTCCATCGTATGGAAAAATGTGTCAAATTTCGCGGAGAATACTTCGAAAAGCAATAAATACATTTTTAAATAGTAATGTTGTGTCATTTCGTTAATTCCCGAAATTTTCAGTGCCGCCTATGTAGTACGTATGTAATATTCTACCATCAATAGTTTTCATAGCCCACGCGATCTAAATAATATTTTAGGTATTTTTTTACACCTTAGGTTACATTATTGGAGTCTTAGTAAGGATCCCTAATTTTTTTGAAAGCCTCGGAAGGCCTCTCTACACCCGATGATGTAGCTTCCGAACAGCGAAAGAAATTTTCGAATCGGTTCAGTAGTTTCAGAGCCTAATCGATTCAAAAAACAAAAATCAATCTTTTCTCTTTATATATTTTTTTTTATTTTTTTATTGCCTTTGTAGGCAGACGGGCATACGGCCCACCTGATGGTGAGTGGTTACCGTCGCCCATGGACTTCAGCAATGCCAGGGGCAGAGCAGAGATATTATTACTATAGATCAGAGTTCCCCAAACTTTTTTGTGTCGTAGACCCCTTGCCATGTTTTTCCGTGTTGGGTAAACCCCTTATTTACCTGATATTGATTTCCTGTAAATTTCTAACTGTAGTAAAGTTTAGTGTTAAAAACTTAAAGTAAAAACACATGGTAATTTATACATTTATTAATTAAATTTAAATTAAAACTACTCAAAATAAAATTTTGTATCTGTTAAGTAAAATATACGTAACATAAAATAAACTATAAATAAAATAACATAAGCAATAAGTCAATCTTTTTAGTGAGCAGGATGAACCTGATGCTTTAATAATAAATTATCAACATTTGGCGTAAATTTTGTAAGGGTTAATCTTAAATCTCCTCGGCTAATGATGTCTTGATATTATAAGATAGTATGATGTAAGTAAATAGGTACTATCAGTGTATGTGTTGAGATCCACTATCGTGGACCCCCTAGTTTTTTTTCGCTGATAGTAGACCCCTTGCAGGTTGTCATAGACCCCTAGGGGTCGATATAGACCACTTTGGGAATCACTGGTATAGATTAATAAATACTTAATAAAATAAAATCCTGGGGTAGTTTGTTCTTAAATCTTGCTTCCATATTATATGAACGTAACATAATTTTAACATAATTTTATATGAACGTAAATATTAATGTATTGAAAATTATATTTATAATGGATTATTTTATTATTTCTTCCAAATGTATGGACCATAAAGGAAAGTTTAGCCCAGTAAAACTATAACACAAACTGAGTTGCTCTGTAAAGAGCTCTGTTGCATTAGCCAATGTCAAGTAATAAGTTTTTTCCCGGTTTTAATCATTTGCAGTTCATGAATAATAAAAGACGAAAGAAACTGTCCATGTTGGCCATTATTAATATCACTGTAAGTATGAATTAAATTAGCAGCGTGGGACGGTATAGATAAATTAGGTTGAGAAAGTAATTTGATAAATGTAGTAATTAACTCTGTAAATGACAATATGAAGAGAAATGAAATGAAGTTGATTAATAATAATAATTTTATTATGAAACATGGCATGAAATGAAATGAAATGTGATGAGATGATATGGAATGAAATATAATCTCAGTAAAATGGTGGTCATTTACTGAGACTTTCTCAGTGGACTTTTTGGAGGATCCCGAAAAGTTACGTCCAGCGGCTTTGTTTCATTCTCTCACATTTGTGCACTTTCACAGATACTAAACAGTTAATAATTTAAACTTCAAGAAACACTAAGTAAATAGACAAAATAATAGGTTGGGGAAAAAGTCTTTTCGCATTATAGTATGTATGAACTTGTCATAAAATCTCTTTGGCTATACTATTTGTATCTAGCTGGTTTTGGTATCATTAAAAGTTTAAATTTTGAAGAAGATAATTCCAAATTCAAATTAGGAAAATGTGTGATTTTTAATTATTTTTCGTACTGTCAAGATGAGTGAACTTAATCAAGAAATTCGATACATTTTAATACTACAAAAAAGGTAAAAATGCAACGCTAGCCGCGAAAAAAATTTGCGATGTTAATGGACCTAATGCAGTGTCTGTGAGAGTAGCACGATTTTAGTTTAAGCGTTTTCAATCCGGAAATTTTGATGTCAAAGATGCACGTCGCTCTGGTCGCCCTATTACGGATAAAAGGGATGTCATTTTTGAAAAAGTGGAGCAAGATCGGCATATCAGTAGTTAAGACGTAGCTGAAGAAAATGACTACAAAATAGTTTTGGCGCATTTGAAAAAAACAGGGTACACATAAAAGCTCGATATTTGGGTACCTCACGAGCTCACTGAAAGAAATCTAATGAACCGTGTACTCATTTGTGATTCTTTATTACGACGTAATGAAACCGAGCCATTTTTTAAGAAGCTGATAACTGGTGATGAAAAGTGGATCACGTTCGACAAGAACGTGCGAAAAAGGTCGTGGTCAAAGGCCGGTCAGGCATCACAGACTGTGGCGATAGCCGGGTTAACTCGCAACAAGGTGATGCTGTGTGTGTATTGGCGTTGGAAGGGCATTATTCGTTATGAGCTATTACCACCAGGCAGGACCATCGATTCTGAACTCTACTGCGAACAACTGATGAGATTAAAGCAAGAAGTTGAGAGAAAGCGGCCGGAATTAATCAACAGAAGGGACGTGGTTTTTCATCATGATAACGCTAGACCTCACACATCTTTAGCCACTCAGCAAAAATTAAGAGAGCATGGCTGGGAGGTGTTAATGCATCCACCGTATAGTCCTGACCTTGCACCTTCAGATTCCCACATTCAGGTTAACATCACGAGAGGACTGCCAAAACGCGGTATTTCGATCAGAAGCCCCTAAATTTATATAGCAATGGGACCATGTCCCTACAAGATGGCAAAAAGCTATCGAACAAAATGATACCTACATACTTTTTTTTTTGTAAGCCTTTATTGCTGTTACTAAATAAAGATATTTACACATAGTAGCAAATTGTTTTAACTTAAATCTAATCTAATATATCGGGTTTCCCGGTTCAGTGATCAGCGTGTCCTGTGACACATAGGCCTCTTCCAGCTGCTTCCATTCTTCTCTATTGCTAGCTTTTCTGGACCAGATTGTCCCTCCAATCATCTTTATATCATCTGTCCCTCTTCTAGCTTGCCTACCTCTTTTTCTTTTGCCATCACGTAGCTGCCATTCTGTTATAATTTTAGTCCAATTCATTCTGCTTTCCCTTGTCATATGTCCTGTCCATCGCCATTTTAACTGTCTTATCTTCTTTAGTACATCTTCCACCTTTGTTGTACATCTAATGTCTGCTGCTCTTTTGCGGTCTTTTAGCGTCACGCTTAACATACTCCTTTCCATTCCCCTTTGACACGATCTTAGTTTTAAAAGATTTTTTGAGTCAATGCCCATGTTTGGCACCCATACGTAAGGCATGGTAAGATGCAAGAATTAAACACTTTTTTCTTGGCTGTCATAGGAAGGTGTTTGCTTTTAAATACCTCTTTAAGGGACCAGTATCGTTTAGTACATACTTTAGTTAAATGTAAATAAATTATATTAAAAAATGTTGTAAATTTTCTTAAAAAATGCAAAGAAACTTTTTTCCCAACCTATTAAAACAAATCACACAACTTCACTCCTCGCATTCGCACTAATACCCCCTATTTTCCATTTGTTGTCTTCCTATGTGACAGTAGTAGTGATTTATGTTTTTTATAATCTTCTTACTAAACTCCTCAATTAGTACAATCTTTACATTTTTTCCTATCTTTCTTTAATATACGTATATCGACACAACATTAGTATTTAGTTAACTAAGATTAGTTAAAGTTGTTAAAGTTAACTGTCTTCTTAATATTGACCTACTTGCACTCCAGGCTTTATGAACTGTCTGTTGTTAGAAACTTTATTAGTCAGTAATTAACTGTTAAAGGTACTCGTGCACACGGTCCAACTGGTGGGAAGCGCCTATCAGATCGATGAATATCCGAACAAAAATGCGGTCACCTATCCTGTGCGTTAGTTCGAGGTCTCAGTTATGTGGTATAGCAGCCGTTCCACCCCTCACACCGCTTATCGCTAGCGACCACAACAGGTGAGACGGGACGGCACAGGACCTATCCGAACGGTTTGTCTGTGTGCCAGTGTGTGCCTGCTACGGCAATTACTTACCGTCTGTTGGGCCATCGGTTCGCCTGCATTAGACGCCAGTATAACAAACCCCTTCGATCACTGAACAACAACATAAAACTAACCATGAACAATACAAATATTGTACATTATTATAATCATCGACGGTTGTTCAATAGTCATTTGCACGAACAAAGATGAGTCCACGATATTACATAACTGGCTAACTCTGTTGCGGAGCATGGAACGCCATGACGTGCCGTGACGCACCGTGACGCACCGTGACGCGACCCTCTCCGTGTCACAGCAGGGCACCGTTGTACGACACGAGGGAGCTTGCCCTAAGAGTGGTGGGTGACCCCAGCCGGTGCGTGGTGCTCGCGCGGTGCAGCCAGTAGCATCAGCGGAGGCCTGCACTGCGCACGCGCAACTCTCGGAACGCATTTCGCTAATACTAGACTCCGTTATACAACAGTCGTGTGTGTACATCGCTGCTGCTCACTAACTTTACTGTGAGTATGTTGTATTTTATATTGTATATTGATCTAATTTCATTTTAATAACGCGATTGCACGCCATATTATTATAGTTCATATATTATTATTTAAAGAACTAACTTATTTTGTAAACGTCCGGACTTACGTACTACATGCCTAAAATAACAATTATTATTAACAATAATTAGTACTTCATTCTCGCACATTATTAAGTGTGCTGTAAGCTCTTCCGTCTATAGAACTGACAATAATCTACTGTTTAGAAGAAAATAAACGACGAAAAATAAAGTTAAAATGAAAAAGAAAATAAATAAATAAATAAATTTTGAAGACGAAACAGAAATTACAAAGTTTATGCAAAGTAAAGGATTAAAAAAATCACGTGAACACCAACAACACAAACTCCAGAAATGGTGAAATTTTTTATCGATTCATGGTTTTTTCGCAAAAATACGAGTGTGAAGTGGACCGCACCGGACCGGACCGAGCTCCCTCAGTGTTGGGCGCTCTCCCGCGGCTGTCCCACTACTCCACTACTCCAACGACGAGACTGAACAGTCTTATGGAAGGCTTATGGAAGGTTTCTTACGAACGAACGACAAGCGATAAACGGAATTATCAGTGCGGCGACACTAGGCTGTACGCGAATGAACTTCGAGCGTTAAGTAAGACATGACAAGTTGTGTAAGGCACGCGTGTACACTACGCTCTAGAAACAGACTAGGCTAGGTTTTATAATGTGTGTTGATGTTGTCGTAGAACCCGTATGTGTGTATGTGTGTCGCATGTGTGCGTGGAGTAGCAGGGCGAGTGTTACGTGATGCGGAACGCGAGCTGGACTGAGGAACTCGCCGGCGCCACGACAGCGTACTACCGGGGACCGCCCGCCCTCGAGCCACACTCGACTCGCCTCGAGCAGCCCTCGAGCGTGTGACAGTATTCGTTCCGCGTCATTATGAAGACGCGTTCGACCTCGGACTCACAACAATATCATCCTCGGCTGATCACGCCTTTCGAATCTGAACAAGGGTCGGGCTGCCGCGGTCACGCGCTACACAACATTCAACATGTAACGATATGTCGCACGAGTTGATGCCCGTCATGTGTGACTGCCGGCCGCGACACCTCGGGCGGACGGAGGTGCGTGTGTGGAGACAGCTCGAGACAAGATGGAGTCGTATATCGTATATGATATCGCGGTATCGGCGTGAGAGCGCTCTCCATTGTTGCGTTAGTATTGTCTGCGGAGTTATCTGCATGGGTACGTCGCCGCCGAGCCTCCGCAACCTCGACGTTACGCAACACGCTCATTACGATACCTTCAAAAATATTTGAATGATTCGCGCGCGTTATCTGATCGTCTTGGTTCACAGCGGGTTCGGCTAGTTACGGCTTGTATCTTTGTTCACACCGCGTCGTATTGTCACCTGCACAGTTACTGCTTTTCTATGTGTCTACGAAGAACACCTCGTTATCACTATTGAGTGTGTAAATATCAAGCCCACGATTACTAATATATATATATAAAAGTACCTATTATATAACTCTCTGTATAATATTTTCCAAAAAATACATAATAATATATTATAATTGAATGTAATTATTCCGCTAATCTGCCGGCGGTGTTGCGACAGAGATAAAGTTTTGCAAGAGCCCGAGATATTCCCATGCCGGGGCGGCGGGGCGCGGGGCGGGGGTGTCGTTGCGTTACCAGTTACCGCGAACACAGGCCAGCACGAACCAGGTCACTCAACAAATTGGTGCAGAAAACTTAACAAATGAAGCAGTACATTCGTTCTTCTTGCCACCGCCGCGCCGCACCGCACCGCCCGCCCGCCACACCCGGCCGCGTCTACCGCGTAGCCTCGGTTGTAGTTGGAATTGTTTGTGGAGTAGCTGCTCTTCTAGCGTGCTCTTCGCCCGACAACAATACTACCTCCGACACAAATCAGTACAGTAGTTTGGGGGGAATAGAAACTAGAGTTAGAATAGGGACAAATCTGGGATGTCACTATACTTTTGATAAGTTGTTAGATTTAACTTTGTCGAACTGAAAATGACTTTTATTTAATGTTTAAGAATATTAAATAGTTTAATTTAGGCATCAAAGTTTTGTAACTCATTAAAAATATTAAAAAGTTAATTACCTAAAGCTAGGTATCTATCTAACAACTAAATAGTGCCAGCCCTATCGAAAAACTATTGTTCCCATACGTAACCGATTCACCCCAAAACCAAGGTGAATGGGGTCAAACTATTTTTTTTCAGTTTTTGTGTATATTTTGTATTGAATTATGTATAATAACGCATCGTATAAAAAAATTTAAGCCTCCGGAACCATTTTAATCTCAATTTTATTGGTATTTCCCTAAAAAAACCATCGAAAATTTGTGTTGGATTTGGAAAGGGTTTCGATTCCCCCCAATCTACGGTAGTTCTATATTCACATTATGTAGGTACACTAATTCAAATTTCGCGCCTTAAATATGTTTTCTGACTGTACTAACTGTAGTATTTAATCGGCTAGGTACTGCAGGCAGTCGAGTGTAGCAGTGGGAGCGTCCCCATATCTTTATTAGCCTGTTCACGGGCAACAGTACCGATAGCTAGCTCGTGAAATTGTATTATTACGAAGGTTAATTTCCTTTAATCAACAACTTGCAGCGCCCTAGGCCCTCGTCCACGTAGACTAGACAACTAACGCCAACAGCACCTACTCAACAAGTGTTCAACTCTATTTGTCCTTTAACTTGAATATCAAATGTCCGCCAAGTAGCAGCGTCGGGTCGGCGCTCGACTGCACGCCACACGGGCCCTGTGTAGCGTCGTGGATAACGTCGCGTCCTATTGACGAGCGTCTGCACGTCGCGCTGGGTGGGTGAGACTGGTGGAGTAACAAGAACACGACCTCACTTCCATAGAGACTCACTCCGCCCGCGGCAGCTGGTGGCAAACAGTCGGCGCCCAGACCCGCGCAACTAGTCAGACCCAGTTAGATCTGGGACCGTGAGGCTTGAGATAAATGAGGAACCAAAGGAACCAGAGCACGTCAACGTGCGCACGTTCTTGACGGTTCAAAACGGTGTGAACTTATTAAAATCACTTTGACTGCGTACTGTGTTCGTATTTACATGCGTGAGTATTTTATTAACTGCGATCGGCAGACATACTTACGGCTTTCCTTATATTAAGCGGTCATTGAAGCGTGTAGGTACCTATAACAAACATCATGACGCAAGGAAGGCTGTCCACCTCAACAGCGGCAAGGGATACGATTGGAATCCTACTCTTCAAACGTACACACCACTTTTCCGCGGCAGCAGTGGGCAGGACGGTGGTCCGTACCCGTGCGGGCAGGAAATACATACGTCCTACTAGCGCTAATTACCGGTTGGCCTCCTCAGTACACTGGTACACTCAGAAAATGCTGATGTCCAATCTCAGATGAGAACGACGTCGACGCCACGAAGTGAAAGCTTATTCCTTCTTCCAAAATCCAGCCCAGGGAAAGCTGGTACGTTTGTAGTTAGCCGGTGCGCCGGAGACAAGTGCACACCTAGTGCACGTTTATTTCACAACCAGATGCAATCTTTCGAATGTAACGCGAGTGGAACTGAAGGATACACTTTAACATCATCTTATTCCGAAAGACTTCTTAACGCGTCTAATGACGTCACGTCTCTGTATTGTCTATCTATATGTTATATATAACCGGTGATGTTACGGGACATTATTATTATTATTATTATTAATGCTTTATTTCAGTTATTTTTTTTTTTAAAACCATAAGATTTTGTTAGTAATAATTACTTATAATCTATGTTAGTAACTTAAAAATCTAACACATAACTATCATTATATTATACATTTTATACCATTATATATTATTATTTTTCTCCTTCCAAGTGCCTACTGCAAAGGCTATTGATCAGCAGTCCCTCGATCTTGCTCGATATGATTCTCAAAAGACTGTTTTCACTGTCACGAACTCGACGCAATAACGATGCACTTCTCTTCCACATTATTGCAAAGAAGTCATCGGTGTGAGATGTCGCAAACATTGTGGATGCACTACAAAAGCGCGGCAGTGACAACATCATCCTAAACGCATTATTATATTGGACATTAGGAGGAGTCCGAGACGCGTGACGTAAACTGCAAGCTTATAGAGAAAATAGTTTCGTTAAAGTAATATCCTCATGATATTGTTAGTTCGCTTTTCAATTATCTGTAACAAAGAAAATGTACTTATAGTTTGTATAAAATAAAACCAAACTAAATGTATAAAAAATATGAACGTATTGAATTGAAGGTCTAATTGAAGGTCAAGATACGTGGAAAAGAATGCAAATTGCACATGAATTGAGGAGTGCGTCTAACCTGGGGCTGCTTGTGTGTGTGACTCCGCCCCGGGGAACGGCAGCTCGAAGTATACCTACACAACTTTTGTTTTTATTAATGAGGATTTACTGGTGTCCCCGAGCCTTTACCAGTTTTACAAGGACAGGGACACAGCCTCTATAATTATTGGCAACACATTTTCATTTGATTTCGAACACATTACTGAATACGTACAAACGGATTGTAACACAGCAGCTCGTGGTCTGCGTGCACACAGAAGCCAGTTAATGTCGACAACCATCCCGAGACCCAAGTGACGCGTGACAAGGAACGAGGAGGAACAGTTGTCTGGTGTCGGTAGTGTTGTAAAAGTACAGCAAAGAAGCTCCCAGTAGCTCGACGGTGAGCGGGGGGTCACCTTGTGCAGTTACCGTAGATCGTTTACATTTATAACACTGTCTACTTCAATTGCCTCAACTATTCTGTATCGATTTATACACATCAGATAGTGCAAGTCGCGTGAAGAGTGCGCGCGAGTACGATCGGCACTACTCCCACTGCTAGGTTGGGTTCGACCACGGAATAGATAAATAAGGTTGGAAAGGCCTTTGCTCTAATTTTGTATTAGAACCAGTGTCGCCGCTTCATCCCCACTATTTTAATTTCTACACATACACACACTGTGATTACAAGTATTTCGCACACAACAAAAACACCCACACATAAATCTCAGGACAGATATTCGTTCGCAAACTAGCACAAAACACCCGTAGGCATACACACTCACACACGCAAAAAGGCAATAAAAATGTTCATACACGCTAGTGCTTGATAAAATCGATATTCTTTATCGATAAATTATCTGATGAATGAATGGAGAAAATGAAACATGAAATAAATATTGAAAAAAAAAACTATTTTACTTTTATTAATTACAAATAGTCACTGTCGCTGGAATAAAACGTATTTGTTAAGCAGTTGGCGCTTGCTATTAATTGCGAATGAATTTTTCAAAACTAAGTGTATTCTGATTTTTTTTATGATAAAATCATTTTCAGTAAAATGTTTAGAGCAAATAGTACTCGTCTTTGTCTCCAGTTTCCTCTACCTGTCACGTCAATCCATTGTTCCCTGGCGTTAGGTTCTTTAGGAAACCTAAAATTTTTAATTTACTGCATAAGTCAAATAGCATTTTACTTAGATTTTAATACGTCTTAGACAATATAGTAAATACCCGTAAATTAGAGGTCTACATGTCCCTTTATATTATACCTTCACTTTAATTCAATGATAATAATTCAATAATAATAATACATATTTATTTTACTCAAAATACGTCTCACTAAGAATATACTAGGTATCATTAATTAAATATAAAATAATGCAAAAATTATCCATGTCAAATGTAAATATAGTCGAGAATTCTGTCGATGATTTTACCACATGGTCACCTCACTATCGACAAACTGCACGGCCAATCAGGGCAAAGGCCGAAATTTCAAAGATTGAAGTGTAGAGAACGCAATGCATGTAGTACATTGGAAGCTGACTTGGTCATTGCGTTCATTGGGCGAGTACACATCGCGCAATGTATGCTATTTATAACTTGCTGCAATAATATTGTTAATGTTTGGAATTTCATAATGCTCAGTATATTTTTATGTTTTAGACAAATAATATTGTAATTAAATGGTAATTTCGACTTACCGATCGAAAGATATACCTCCTCGCTCTATACTTGAGGTCTGATTTTATGTTTTACAAGTTATAATTGCACAACACGGCACTATAAAGCGGAGATCTGTTCGCCAAGTAGTCCGAAGCGCACTAAACGCGGTGAATGAAAGAATCGGTCGAGTTATGTTTGTTCTATCATAACTGTGGCACGCTTGCCCCGCCTACATTACCATTCCAACCTTATTTATCTATTCCGTGGGTTCGACAGCGGCCTGCGAGCACCACGCACAGACAGACCGCGTGTGCGCGGCGCCCCTGTCGCTTCTACACGTGTTCAAACAACAACTTACGTACGCAGACAGAGAGCGGCGGCGTGACATTCGCGCCATCCTTGACATTACACGGAGATGAGTGCCGTCCGCTCACTCCGCAAGCCCGGGAGGCTGCGCTCCGTCACGAGTCTAGTGGCTGCGGTGAATGGCTGATGCGTGGCCGAGGCTGTGTTACTTACGAATATACCCATGTTGAAGAGTTAATTTCCTCCCGAATATCCAGCACTCTCATCACGCAACACACCATACGATTAGTACGTAGATGGACGCGGTTTCTCCTCGCTACGTTCACTCGCACTTTATGTCCGTGCTCATTTACTGCGTTACTCCTCGACAACGTCATAAGCATCAGGACCAACCGGTGGAGACCGCGCGTGACATATCTTGTGGGAAGTGTCGCCTGCGCACGGATGTGCTCCAAGGTTTTATAATTTGTGCGAACGAGCTCACGGCCCTCTGGGTGTTAAGTGGTTACCGGAGTTCATAGACAACAACAACATAAATAGAATAATAATAATAGAATCTATTTTTACGGTACAGCAGCTGTCCCATCATTTAAACCGCACAACTGCTTCACGGCAGAAACAGACAGGGTAGTGGTGGTAGCCGGTGCGGGCTCACAAGATGACCCACTACCACTACGGCTAAAAGGTGCGACATCTCTAGAGCTAGTTAAGTTGCGTCTTTCGCTAAGGTCGGCCAAAGGGACGTTCGCGTCAATTAATTAGTTGAGATTACAGTTGAAAAAAAAACTTGATTTTATATTAACAATGTTACAGTGTTGAATATTGAGATAGTAACGATCTTATGTCACTTACTTCTTTAGTACATTTCCATCGGACGCTTCTCCAAACATTTGATTGAGGTCGTGTGCGCTGTACCTGAAGTTGTGTAAACTTAATAAAAATAAGTCGAAATTGTAACAAATTAATATAATGTTATGTGCAGGGAAGTATAGAAAGCTACATGCGCTTTCGACATATCCGTGATGGATGTTTGTTACTGTAAACTGCGTCACTATCTCAGCGTTCGAGAAATGTATTTAATTATTTAATTAATGCACTTTCTTTCCGACTTATGCCATGATTCATTTCTACAATAAAGTTGTTATTAAATGCTAATTTTACAAGCACTCCGATGTTTCTCACGACTTTTCGTGTCCACGGTCGGAGCTTGTTCCGAGTACCCACGGACGCAGCCGTCCAGTATGGAGTCCACAGTGTGAGGTGCACATAAAAGATTACAATTACTGCAGTGCAGATTGAGTGCGAGGCTATCTCTATATCTAAGCTGAGTGCCTTGCACACAATAACCGCAGGTCCACTGGAGCCGCCACAAGTCAGTCGCGCCGGCTACTATTGTTTACAAAGATTCTACAAATAAATATAGCTAATGTTCAAATTAAATTCATTTAATTTGTTAAATTCGACTTAATACACATTTTCACAATAGATAAAATATGAATAAAAGATGATTATAAAATGTTTATTAATTAACGCATAAGTAAATCAATGGATTATTTTGTAATTTTGGTTTACAAGAGCGGATTGAGTGCAGTACTCTGTAGGCCGAGTCTGCGCGGCGGCAGTATCTCGCTGTGTGCCGACGCGACGTCGAGGACACACAAAGCTGTTGAGTCAGACACTCTCAGAAATTTATTGCTTAGATGGGTGGACGAGCTCACAGCCCACCTGGTGTTAAGTGGTTACTGGAGCCCATACACATCTACAACGTAAATGCGCCACCCACCTTGAGATATAAGTTGTAAGGTCTCAGTATAGTTACAACGGCTGCTCCACCTTTCAAACCGAAACGCTTTACTGCTTCACGGCAGAAATAGACAAAATCTGTTGACATCCCAAGTATGTGGGTATGCGGTGTCTATAAACACTGTATTACATATTTGTATCAGGTACATACAACTTCATACAGCAGGTCTATAGTGTTACATTGAACAACATTGTGTTGTTGTTGTCAGACTTTCCCAGCTAGGATGGCATCGTGCGACTGCCCGATGTCGCAGCCGGGTCCGACCCTGGCGGCGACGTGCGGCGGAGGGGCCTTCATGCTGTTCATGGGACTGCTGGAGGTGTTCTTGCGCAGCCAGTGCGACCTAGAGGACCCTTGTGGACGGACACAGGTACTGAGATCAGTGACGTATACGTGGGTGAGGCCGTCGCGTCGTCTTGTTCAGTCTCCCTGTCGACGAACAACTAGACTGTACTCAATTCGCGTCTACGAGTATGTGACGATCGCGTGCATACAGGCGTGTGTGTATGGGTGTGTTATCCATGAAAGCATCTCGTTACTAAATAAAAAAATTTAAAGTACTTTCTTAGTGAAAGCTTCTTCCGCCTCAATGATGTATGTAGTGTTGTCGACTGAAGACTGTCAGTCACACACGGTAGAAGTGAAAGTATTCTATCTCATTTTCTCGTAGGTTAAATCCCATAGAACTATACTTTTAGTATGGCTGACAGTCTTCATAGAATCACAGTATAACATTGTGTATTGTGATCAGAGGTGCATTTTATTAGAAACTAACTGACCCGGCACACTTCGTAGTGCCTCAATCGATAAATAAAAGACCCAAACTTTTGTATAAAATAAACTTAAAACAAACAAAAGGAATCCGTCCGACGGCGGACAAAACATAAAAAGAAAAACAAAATTGTTATTTTTATTTAATTCCGAGTATTTTCATATTTATCTACCTTTTAAACCTTCTCTGGACTTCCACAAATAATTCAAGACGAAAATTAGCCAAATCGGTCCAGCCGTTCTCGAGTTTTAGCGAGACTAACGAACAGCAATTCATTTTTATTTTATTAGATATATGGGTCGTGTTATACTATGTTCCAGTACCGTAGTGACATGGAGTCCGTGTACGACTTCATAGTGGTGGGGGGCGGGTCCGCGGGGTCCGTGGTGGCGGCGCGCCTCGCCGAGGTGCCGCACTGGAGGGTGCTGCTGCTCGAAGCAGGTGCCACGACTCAACGACTCTACTCACGACTTCATTCTATATTTTATTATGAACAGAAAGCGGAATGATTAGTCTCTACTAATCATATAGTCCCTACTATATCTAGTGCACTAGTAATTGAAATGAGGTGAAGTGACCTGTGGACGCCAGTTGAAGAAAGGTGGAACCAGTTGCTTGCTTAATTAATTAGTGGCGTGTGATCATCTTTGGTTCTTGTGACCTCTCAGCGTATGAACAGGTTTTTTTATTGCTCTTGTAAGAAGACGAGCATACGGCCCACCTGATGATGAGTGGTTACCGTCACCCATAGACTTCAGCAATGTCAAGGGCAGAGCCAAGCCGCTACATACAGTAAAGTACTCTCCACAAACCTCGTTTGAAGACGGACATGTCATAGCGCTCGAAAAGCACCGTGGAGGGGAGCTCATTTCAAAGCCGGAAAATAAATCTTTGGAAACGCACTGTGGATGAGCGCAGTGGCTCCAGGTCGTATGGATGATTTGCGCTGGCGGGCGGTACGATGGTAAAAACGAGATAATAGTATCATCTCAAACAATTCCTCAGAATTGAAATGATTCATCAATAGGCCATGTCTCCTCTATGCACGGTACGCATGAAGCAGCTTCGTGGTCCCCGGTGAGCACGTGAGAGCGGCTCCGTTATCAATACGTGAACGTTGGACTACAGGTTTCGACGAGCCGACCGGTGCCCAGGTCCCATCAATGTTCCTGAACTTCATCGGCTCCAGCATCGACTGGGGCTACCACACTGAGCCGGAGCCCGCCGCCTGTCTCGCGGAAAAAGACAGGAAGTGCTATTGGCCCAGAGGAAAGGTCAGTGAACTTAGAATTAAGCAAATGCAGACATGTCACTGAAGCCCTCGCCGCATTGGCTACTCACACTAAAGTAGACATGTCATGGCTTTTTTTTTGCACGGGTGAACAACCTCGCGGCCCATCCGATAAATACTTACCGGAGCCCATGAACATTACAACATGAAAGTAGTATTCGTAGTGGTGATGGTGGTTTTGGTAGTGGTAGTGGTGGCGGTGGTGGTTATTGTAGTAGTATTACTGCAATAACTTCTTAACGGTCTGCAATGGACTTCTCGACGCTCACTCACCTCAACTGATCAATACTACAGGTCTTAGGAGGAACGTCAGTAATGAATGGAATGATGTATATTCGAGGATCCCATAAAGACTACGACGACTGGGCTGCACTCGGCAACGAAGGCTGGTCGTACGAGGACGTGCTCCCGTACTTCCTCAAGTCGGAGGACAACAAGCAGGTCGAAGAGATGGACACTGGGTATCACGGAGTCGGTGGACCGCTCACTGTCTCGCAGTTCCCTTACCACCCCCCACTCAGCTACAGTTTGGTCAACGCTGGAGAAGAATTAGGTATGATCATGACCCATCTAATTAGAATACTCTGCCTAACCGTAGGTGCTCTCTGCGTGTCCCGGGTGTGAGGGACCCGTGGTTGAAATCGTGAGCCGGTGCTGTCGTCGGGGCAAAGTCTTGTTCATTTTAACTTGGTTATTGACATTTTGTTCTTAACAAAACATCTCGAGAACTGTATTAGAATCCACACGAACCGACATTCTGATAACGTTTCTCAAAAATTCATCACTGCACGTGGATATTGCCACGGTATTCCTCACTGACTTTAGATCTTATTCTATCAGAAATCATTGAAATTCAAATCATTGACCTTAACCTAAGCGTCATCAAAAGACACATATTGAGTGTCAAACCATGCTATCGCTTCGAAGATCGTCGTGGGCTAAAGGATAAGACGTCCGATGCACTCGTGTGTAGCGATGCACCGGTGTTCGAATCCCGCAGGCGGGTACCAATTTTTCCAATGAAATACGTACTCAACAAATGTTCACGATTGACTTCCACGGTGAAGGAATAACATCGTGTAATAAAAATTAAACCCGCAAAATTATAATTTGCGTAATTACTGGTGGTAGGACCTCTTGGGAGGCCGCACGGGTAGGTACAACCACCCCGCCTATTTCCGCCGTGAAGCAGTAATGCGTTTCGGTTCGAAGGGTGGGGTAGTCGTTGTAACTATACTGAGATCTTAGAACTTATATCTCAAGGTGGGTGGCGCATTTACGTTGTAGATGTCTATGAGCTCCAGTAACCATTTAACACCAGGTGGGCTGTGAGCTCGTCCACCCATCTAAGCAATAAAAAAAAATGTGTGCGTGTACTAGTGTACACACGTAAGAAGTGAAACTTGTTTATGGCCTTATTTTTCGAAAAATGATCTACATGCAACTTTCTAGAAATTGGTTAAATAAAGTTAAATTAGATAAAGTTTAAACAAAAGGATTTTATTATCATAGACATGAATACAAAAAAGTTAAATTAGATAAAGTTTAAACAAAAGGATTTTATTATCATAGACATGAATACAAAAAAGTTAAATTAGATAAAGTTTAAACAAAAGGATTTTATTATCATAGACATGAATACAAAACAGATGGCGCGTAACGGAAAAATGTGACGCGTAACCGAAAAATGTGACGGTAAATTTTTTTCCAACGCCGATAAAGAAGTTTCACTTCAAAAAAAAAAAAAAAAAATTTCAGGTTCCAATGATATAGTTTTATTTTTCATGTTTTTCATGTTCATTCAAATATAACAAATAAATTATATTTAAGACTTGTAGTTCTCATGTTCAGGAGATGATAGGAACTGCATAAATCAGCAACTAGTTGTTCTGATATTGAACTCTGATATTGTTGTTTTTATAAAGACCTTACGATGTTGTATAATAAGGAGTGTCTACGAGGCAGCTTTCTACAGCTGTTAAGTACCAAAATAAATAACTTTATAATGAAGAGCGGCTCCCGCAGGGTACCGGGTGCGCGACCTCAACGGTGAGCAGCAGGCCGGGTTCGCGATCGCGCAGACCACCAACAGGAACGGGTCGCGGCTGAGTGCGGCGCGCGCCTTCCTGCGGCCCGCCCGCCGCCGCCGCAACCTGCACGTCATGCTCAACACCACCGTCACCAGGGTGCTCATAGACCAGACCACGAGGCAGGCCTACGCCGTCAAACTCAGGGACTCCCGCGGAGGAACTCAGCTCGTCTATGCGAATAACGAAATCATCTTAAGGTGACCCGAGCTCTCTCATTGGTCGGCTTTTGCGAGCTTCGAAATGAGAAATAAGCCAGCGGTGGTGTCTACCGCACATAACTACATTTGGTTATAGCATTAACGTTAATTAATTTTTGTTTGTTGTATATGAAGGCATCGTAAGCTACTGAGTTATTATAATTAGACATCGATTGGCGGACAAGGAGAATTTATTACAAAATAAAAGAATAAGGAATTGTGTCAGAGTGGCAAGAACGTCAATTGTCAGCTCTTGAAGATGTAGAATATGTAGTACAATTACGTTGAATAGGCTTGAAGGTTAAGTCTAAGGCCTTGACTCACATTTGGCTTTGTTACTGGTAGTGAGACGACTTGTGAGTCCGCACGGGTATAATAGGAGTAGTAGAAATTAGGCAGCTATTTCTGCTGTGAAGCAGTAATGCGTTTCGGTTTGAAGGGTGGAACAGCCGTTGTACTGTAAAAACTGAAACGTTGAAACTTATATCTCAAGGTAGGTGGCGGTATTTACGTTGTAGATGTCTATGTGCTCTGGTAACCACTTAACATCAAGTGGGCCATGAGTTCGTCCACCCACCTAAGCAATAAATAAAAAAATAATCTTGAAAGTTCTAATGTTCAATGTTACTGAAAATATGGATCTTTTAAAAAAAATCGGTTACGTATTCTTGCAGAGTCAAAGCTAGGCTTATACTCCAAGCGAAGCTTAGGTTTGTAAATTAGTTTGAAAGTAAATTAGAAGTGGAGAATAGAAAGTGCAGTTGTGTGGTGCAGCGGCGGCGCCATCGGGTCGCCGCAGCTGCTGCAGCTGAGCGGCGTGGGCGAGCCGGGCGTGCTGCGGCGCGCGGGCGTGGCGCCGGTGCACGCGCTGCCCGCCGTCGGCCGCAACCTGCACAACCACGTCGCGCACTTCCTCACCTTCCGCATCAACGACAACAACACCGCGCCACTCAACTGGGCCACCGCCATGGAGTATCTGCTCTTCAGAGACGGCCTCATGTCTGGCACCGGTCAGTCTTCTTTATGGTTGTAGTCTATGACCCGAGACCGATCTCGACAGCCGTTTTTTCATTAAAATGTCGGCTGTACGTGTATCGCACCTAAGCACAAAGAACGTCCATGCTGCAGGTATCTCGGAAGTAACGGCCTTCATAAACACGAAGTACGCGAACCCCGCAGAAGACCGCCCCGACATCCAGCTGTTCTTCGGCGGATTCCTAGCCGACTGCGCCAAGACCGGCATGGTCGGAGAGAGGCTGGACAACGGCTCTCGCTCCATACAGATCATACCGACGGTCCTGCGCCCCAAGAGCAGGGGGAAACTTGAGATATCATCCGCAGATCCTTATGAATATCCCAAAATATATGCAAAGTATGACTCTCCTCTTCTGACCTGATTGATACTCATCACTAGTCTAAGTAACTTGTTAACCTTGAGTGCTGTTACTGTACTTATAATAAAATATAATACATTAAATTATACTATTTGAAATCTGCACTACTAGTTGTGGGGTGCATAGTAATGTAGGTAGCTCCCATGCTGCCTATTTCTGCCCTCAAATAGCATCCTTGTGAGCCGATTTTTTTTCCTACTTATTCGCTACTAGCCTAAAGGGCTATTCCAGATTCGCACTGTCCCGTCGCTTGGGTCGGGTATGGTCCAATTTGAATTGAGAATTGAAAACTGAGAGAGCCGTTATTCTATATGTGAGACTCCGACCTAATGTCCCAAAGTGGGTAGGAGTATTATTATAAGTTTCATTATTTGTTAGATTCAGCCAAAAGTTAGTTACATAGTTAAAAAAATATATTTCAGTGACATTCTTTTATTCATAACCAAGTATGTTTGGAAGCATAAAGTACTGAAATAACTATGATTGTGATAATGTCTGGACTGGGAGCTCGTACGTTTATTGAATGCAATCAAAATAAATCATATTTAAGACTTGGAGTTCTCATCGATACCATAGTGTATGGCGACAATAAAAATCCAGCGACTGTCTCTGTAATGTCGGAATATAGGCTGTACGCTTTCAATAAAACTCCTTCTAGCTACCTGACCCATCCAGACGACGTCAAAACCCTAGTGGAAGGCATTAAGTTCGCCATCAAACTGTCGGAAACGACGGCTCTGAAGCGATACGGACTGAAGCTGGACAAGACCCCAGTCAAGGGATGCGAGAAACTAAAGTTTGGATGTGATGCATACTGGGAGTGTGCAGTCAGGATGCAGACGGGTCCTGAAAACCACCAAGCCGGCTCCTGCAGGATGGGGCCGCGGGGCGATCCCGGCGCAGTGGTCGACAACCTACTCCAGGTAATTAACATTAGTTCTTGTCACTTGTTCTTGTATTTACCAAATATGCAACCACCGCGTTCCTTACATAGACAAGCCTATAAAACGGTCATAAATCCTGTTTAAAGTATACATACTTAAGTAGGTACGTGCTAGCAAGTTACATCTAGCCCAACAGTTACAATTGTTACGGTCGATTGAAGGTGCAAGGACTGGACCGGCTGCGCGTGGCGGACGCGAGCGTGATGCCGAGTGTGACCTCGGGCAACACCAACGCGCCGGTCATCATGATCGCGGAGCGCGCTGCCGACTTCATCAAGGAGAGGTGGCTCGGCCTCGCGCAGGTCAGCTCACAGCATCCGCGGTCCGACTGAAATCTGTTGGTTTGTCCGCGCACATCTCCGGAACTAATTCGGATTCTTTTTTTTTTATTGCTTAGATGGGTGGACGAGCCCACCTGGTGTTAAGTGGTTACTGGAGCCCATAGACATCTACAACGTAAATGCACCACCCACCTTGAGATATAAGTTCTAAGGTCTCAAGTATAGTTAGGTACAACGGCTGCCCCACCCTTTAAACCGAAACGCATTACTGCTTCACGGCAGAAATAGGCAGGGTGGTGGTACCTACCCGCGCGGACTCACAAGAGGTCCTACCACCAGTAATTTGGTTTGATTTTATTACACGATGTTATTCCTTCACCGTGGAAGTAAATCGTGAACATATTTTGTTAAGTACGTATTTCATTTGAAAAATTTGTTACCGGCCTGAGATTCGAACACCGGTGCATTGCTCAACACGAATGCACCGAACGTCTTACCCTTTAGGCCACGACGACTGCAATATTCAAGATTCTGGTGTATTTTTACAGGAAGACGGAGATTAATTTAGAGCATGATAAGGCTTATTAAAACGGGAGTTCAGTAGTTATTGTAGGACGTATTGTGAGCCCTCACGGGTAGACACACGCTGTGCCGGTGGTGGTTTCCACCATGAAGCAGTAGTGGGAGAACTTAGAACTCCTGTCTCGTGCTGGTTGGCGCAATTTACATTGTTGATTTCTATGGGCTCCGCTTAACATTTAATATTAGGTGGGCTATGAGCTCATCCAACAAACTAAATAACAAAAAGCAATTAAATGCCAAACATTATAGGTACAGCAAATAATAAATATTATTAATACGAAAGTAACTCTGTTTCGTTTTCACGCTCATCGCTCTGAACCGGAACAATGTACAAAAATTCAAATTCAAAATTCAAAATCATTTATTTCAACTTAGATGTCAGTATGACACACTTGTTGAATGTCAAAATACAAATAACAATGTTAACTCTACCACCGGTTCCAAAAAAAAGCCACAGTCCTGAGAAGAACCGGCGAAACAAACTCAGCGGGCTTTTTTTTTTGTTTTTTCTCAAATATTTTCTTTTTTTTTAATAAATAGAAATATTCACAATAAAAGAAAAAACAAGTCAAAAAAATACAATTAAAAATAATAATAATAATAATGAAAAATGAAAAGGCCAGGAGCGAGCGCCTCATTCCCACGTAGTGCCATCTAGTAAATAATCCTTAACTTTATAATATGCCTTGTTGCACAAACGTTCCTTAACAGTTTTCTTAAATCTATGAACAGGTAGTAATTGAACGTTTAGTGGGATCTTGTTGAAAAGCTGTACACCCAGCCCCCTAAAAGAGTTNAGCGCCTCATTCCCACGTAGTGCCATCTAGTAAATAATCCTTAACTTTATAATATGCCTTGTTGCACAAACGTTCCTTAACAGTTTTCTTAAATCTATGAACAGGTAGTAATTGAACGTTTAGTGGGATCTTGTTGAAAAGCTGTACACCCAGCCCCCTAAAAGAGTTGCTTATTTTCTTAATTCGAGCCGCCGGCAACGCTATCCTTCGTAGTACTTCGGATACGTTATCCTTCTCCCCAGAGCTGAGCATGAATCTCTGCCGACGCGACTTAACGTGCGTCAGGGAATCTGCGGCGGACAGCTAGTCTAGATAATAAGACAATCGAAGCTCGTAGCCAAACTAACCAATCGTAGCAGTACGAGGTAGCGTTGTCATAGATTTGCCGCTATCAATAGATTCGTATGTATTTTTGTGTTTTTTCATGGATTTGGATGAATTTATTACGTTACAGGCTTCATTCCCAGCGGTGGAGCACGGCGGAGTCTCCAACGTGTTAGCGTCCAGCGACGGAGAGCGACCGACCGTGCGCCCGAAATGGGACTCATAGTTCATCATAGTCTCGCGCTCACACTACCGCTTATTGAACTGCCTAAGTACTGCTTGTAATTACAAATCGATAACAAATTTCAATGGACGGAACAAAACTACCCAAATCGACGTAAATGTGTAATTACTCTGAGTGAACAGAGGCTTCTTGGAAAGAACACATTGTAATTATATCTGGCGCAGGCGTTCAGTCAGTGTGAGATGCAAGGTACGTGACCTTGAGCGTTACCAAAATTTATTGTATCATACCATTCACCTGATAATATTATTGTTATAACAATATGATACTTACTACTACCTATTAGTACTGTAATGCTATTGGTACGGACTCCAAGCCGTTACCCAGTGTACGCCGAACTAAAATATTCTGTTACTCCAGCAACAGATTTTAATATGATGGTTTCATGTGCAAGTATATTTCTGGAGCCAACTTCTCATAGGCACTTTGCGGCCACACCATTCTTTCACTGGTCACAACATAGCACAAAAAAATGATCCCAGTACTCTTGCGTATGCGTTCTCAAGGGTCCACAGACAACTAATGCGAACTGTGTACCCGTCACTGCGACTGGGACGTGGGCATCGACGCCATAAAATCACAAACCTCCGACGCGTGGAAGAGACAACCGTACGTAATGGCGCGATGTTGGCGGCCGGCGAGTCCGACATGTTGGCAGTGTTAAATAGAGTGCACAGCATGTCACTACACGTTTGAACTCTCCATCCACAAATATAAAACTAAACTTGTGGTAACGGACTACAAGTCGTCGCTGGGTTACACTGGAAGGTAGAACCTACAAGCTGCTCGTAGATGCACTTGAAATAAGCTGCTGCAGAAGACATCATGGTTCATCGGACAAACTTACCAACGACAACCTGTCTTTAACGCATTTTCATTGTCATGAACGAAATCGACAAACTTAAATCGTTGGTGGTAAGAAGCAGGGCAGCGACGACAGGAAATTAAAAGGGCGCAAAATTGGGAGGCGGCGACCACGGCCCTTGGTATCATTTTGGTGCCTAGACGACAGCCGCCGAGCGCCCTCGAACGGCGCCACCGAATTGACGCACGATTTTAGTAAAATAAGGATTATCTTGATATTAAGATTTTGGTTCTTTCATAAATAGGATCGGAAAGGATAGGAAAGGAAATTATGTAGATGCATACATGTACATATATGTGTGCATCTACATAATTTTACATTAATGAACGATTTTAGGATTCTATAGAGATTCAATTAAAAACGCAAAGAACATGATTTTATCTGAATATTAAAAATCAATTAATAACATTTTATAGTTAAGTATTAAACCAGACAATTCGATGTCACTTGTAAAATAGGCTGAGAACAGAAGGGTGGATGTATTTATTATTTTTTTAATAAAAAGAATCTCAAATTTTAACACTTTATTTTATTTGAAAAGTTCATAGACTACAATAAATAGCTCGGACCCCACTAGCGCTAATCATAATTAATGAGATTATTTTTGATTTGAATTCATTATCTTCTATATATTATATAAAAATGGAGTTTGTATATTTGTCCTAAGTGCGTTCCCAAACCATTGATCCGATTGTGACCAAGCTGGGTGCTGGCTTCAAGAAATCGATGGTTTTCACACGACCACGGCGTGCCCGGGTGCCGCTGGTCGTGAATAAAGTATGTTGGATACTAATTTTTTTGTGGTCATGGTCCGATTTTCCCCTAGACATCAACGCCCCGCTCTTGTGAGACTGTCGTAGGGGTGGCTACTCTTGCGCTCCTTCACCCTGACCCGGGACAGGGGGCCGCGGTCAGCACCACGACGCGCGCGCCACCCGGACACGCCGTGTTGAGGTGGTAATATGTTGCCAGCGTATTGTAATATTATGTTCTAACGTATTGTACAATATTATTTAGACTTAAAAATAGGTGGCTTGACTTGAACAATGAAAATAAAACTAAGTATATAGAGCCCTAAACACTTCGATCAACAATAGTAACTAGATTTCGGGTCGGTGTATAAAATCCGTCTCGTCAAATAACAGCTCACTTGAAATGTGCGCTCTTATTTTGTTTAGTTCACTTCAAACACAGCCAATGTCAACCCGTCTCACAATACCGCAGTATGTATTTAAAAGTTGCAAAAATTAGGCCCGAAAAAGCAATTTAACGGCCGGAGTATCTTACTTTCGGTAAGTACATGAAGTATAAACTATATTGTAAGCTTTAAACTTATAAATAATATTAAATTTTGAACAAAATTACCGATTTTTAACCACCGCTACAAATGTTGGCCAAGGCTCGGCCAACACATGGACAAACTTTTGCTTAACAGAACAGTAAATGCATGGAGTAGATTTGTGTTGTAATAATTTTTTAAAATTTGTTAGCAGCACTTCAAAATTAGTTGGTTAAAATTGGTTAATGCTGCTTTTGTGTCTGTTTGTTGGACTCTCATTAGATACTTAGCTTTCCATTTTTATTTTAGCTTTCCTAGCAATCACGTGTGCAGAATGGATCTCGATTGTCGCCAGAGAAACAAGAGATGACTTTTATAAGCCAGCTAAGATCTCCGCTTATTGACACTGGACATCTTTGCCTTCCGTGCTCACGGCTACTGAAACGTGGCCGAAACATTGTAATAAAAATACCGCGCTTGAAACCGTTTAAACGTTGTTTTATTATGTGCACTGGTCGCGAAAACTTAAAAATATATATTACACAAAAACGTAACGCTAATAAAATAATAAGAAATGTATAGATACTAACAAACATACATTTCCAAAACATAAAAAGTAAACAACTAAACTTTTACTTTAATTCATTAATAAATTATTTTAGTGTTCAGCGCGACTCCCTTACTTCCTGTAGTAAATAGAAATCGGCATTTCAAAAAGCAAAAATAAATAAAGCAAAACGATGTTAGTTCTCAGAGCAATTAAGGGAAAAGTTACTTTATTTGTTGCCGTTTAAGATTGATTTAACATTAAAAATTGTTTAAAATATGTCTTTTTATTGGTAAGTGACAGGAGTAATTTATTGCTTTGCTCGTTTTATGTGACGAATAATCGTAAGTATTAGATAATATTTTAGAGATTTGTGACTTTATTACTAGGTGCCATAGTTGTAATTAGTTTGAACGTAAAAGTGTTTCAAAACTTTTTTCTCCGTTTGTTAGTAAACGAATGTAACTATATAAGTATATATTCACGCGGACAGTTTTTGCTTTAATTTTGTACGTATCCCTTTATCTAGTTACTATTGTTGATCGAAGCCTAAACAGATGTTTAACTAACATTATTTAAAAAGTTGTGTCAAAGGATGTCGATAGAGATGTAAGTAGCGCCATCTGTGATACCGAAGCGACCAGTAGTACTACCGGGGATGTTCTGGATACCGTAGAACCGTGGTATCGGCTGCGCGGGGGCACACGCCCAGCTGTCGGCACTCACTTCTACTCGAAGAGATGCAGCGGACGAAAGTGGACCATGAAGGTCGTAATAATCAAATAGAGTTTTAATTAGTATTTCGGTGAAAGTTTTTTCTCATCCCGAGCCCCAGCGCAACACGCCTGCTCCGAGGGGACTGGCCGCAGCTCGACCGCCGTGCACAAGTAATCGACACAATTAATTTAACGACAGCTCCGTCGCGGAGACACGGGCCCCGCGCGCTGCGGACACCCAGAATATGTTTGTGCCGGTCCTTGGGCCTTCTCACCCCCTCGCATGTGGGGGCGCGCACCGGTAGCGGCATTACCAGGGTTTGTTTTAACGATAAATTAAAAAAGTTTATTGTTTACATAAATAATTGCTGTTGTTTTGGAACTTTTTATGAAGTTGAATTATATTTTCATTAAATCAATCAAAATTAGACGAGGAAATTGAGTAATTATAGGGACAGCAGTCGTCTGCGACCGGAGGTGGCGCCCCCCGGCGGCAGCCCCCGCGCGCACAGTATTGTTTCGACTTATTACTTATGTAGAGGGTGCCGGGGCACGTGAAGTCGCTCAGAGCTCGACGTTGTTGAGGTTGGAGGCGGAGTGCGAGGGCAGGTCGTCGGCCAGCAGCAGCGTGCCGATGGGCACCACGGCCGCGTCGCGCTCCCGCAGCTTGCGCATCTCGTTCCGCAGCTTCTCCAGCACCGCGTAGTTAGGCTCGTTGTGGCGCGCCTTGTCCTGCAGGAGCGTGATCTGCTGCTCCTCTAGCTTCTTCTCCTTGCAGCTCTTCACGGACCGCGAGCCGTACAGCCGCAGCAGCGAGCCCCACGAGCGCACGTGGGGGTGCAGGGCCTGCAAGGAGCAGCGGGGGTGAGCGGGGGGTTGGGGCGGGGGTCGGGGCGCGGGGCGATGCTCACCTGCAGGATGGACTGCGACGCGCGCTGCTTGGCCGTCTTCTTGTTCTTGCAGACCACGGTGGCGGTGTGCTTGCCCACCTTCATTGTCAATTCAATCTTTTGGTTTTCAAATTTTTTCATCTGGAATGGTAAAAGTTAAGTAAGTCTGTGATCAGTTGCCGAAGAGCGAAGTGGCACGTGTCGGGGGGCACCTCGGTGTGCACGTGCCGGTCGCCGGCGCCGAAGTTCCTGAGCAGGCAGGTGCGCAGGATGGCGTGCGGCGAGGGCTCGCAGGTGGCGGCGCAGAACTCGGCGATGCGCGGGTCCTCGATGCCGACGTAGTCGAAGAAGGTGAAGTCGGGGTCGGCGTCGCGGCGGCGGCCGTCCAGCTCATCCTTCATCTCGGGGATGAGGATGTGGATGGAGGCGCGCGCGGCCGCCGACTTGGCCTGGCGCTTGCTGGAGCCGCGGCCCACGCCGTACTGCATGCCGCCGATGTACACCGTGGCCTGGTAGGGCGTGGCGGCGTTCTCTGCGGACACGAGCAGCGCGTGAGCACCGCGTGACGTCACGGCGCGCCCGCGTGACGTCACCGCACTCACCCAGCTGCTTGAACTCGTAGACGGGCTGCTTCTGCAGGGCGCGGCCCACGTACTCGTGGAACACGGCGAGGTAGCTGCGCCCGTCCATGTTCATGACCCAGTCGCGCTTGGTGGACTTGCCGCCTGCTCGCAGCCGTTAGTGGCAGCGTTAGTTCGTCGCTAACTACTTCAACTTATATTTTTTGCCACGAAATTAAAGACAAATGAATTATGCTCGAACACAAGATAAATTACAGAAATTATTTTTACATGTGTCTTATGTGGTCTGTTTGTGTGTAGTGTGCGCGTTTGTGTGTCTGTGAGCAGTGGGGGCTACCTTCTGCGTCGTGCGCGCCGTGCTGCGCGGGGATGGCGATGAGCTTGGTGCCCTCGGGCAGCGCCGGGTACTGCAGGGCCTTCCGCGCCTTGGTGTACTTGCGCTTGTCAGCCCAGCGCCTGCACACGGGACACGCTACTGCTCAGGATGCACTCCGACGCGGAGTGTACATACATAAATACAATAAATACAGAAAAGCACTCACTTGAAAAGCATAATATTGACGGTCTTAAACTTGAACAGCTTAGCGCAGTACTCGTTGACCTGCTCGTGAGTCAAGTGCTGGGTCTTCCAGCTGGTGCTGACGGTCTCCACCCTGGGGGGAGGCATCACGATCCCGCCGGGCAGAACCACCGGTTTCCTGTTGGCGGGGATGCCATCATCGTTCTCCTGCCTGCTTACACTGCCGCCACTGTTGATGGTGTCTCCAGTAGCGCCGCCGGTGGTAACGCTGCTGGCGGTGTCCCCAGTAGTAGCACCGGTGGTAGCGCTGCTGGTGGTGTCTCCAGTAATGCCGTCGTTGGTAGCACTGCTGGTGGTGTCTCCAGTAGTGACACCGGTGGTAGCGCTGCTGGTGGTGTCCCCAGTGGCAGCGTTGTCGGCGGGGTCCCCAGTAGTGGCACTAGTGGCAGCGAAGGGGCAGCGAGGAACGGGCGGCTCCGAGGCGGCGTCGCTGTGCGCCGTGTTCCAGGTCCCATTGCGGATCTGTTCTTGGATCTTGTTGTCAATTTCCTTTTGTTTTTCTTCCTCCTCTAAGTACTTTCTGTACGCAAGACACGGGATGGCGCTGATGGGAATATCGTGACGCTGAAATAATATCAATCAGACAGTGGGTTACTATGGAACACAATGTTGCCCTCGTCCGAGAACAGAGTCCATAGAGCTCCACGCACGCGCCGGCCCGACGCGGGCGCTTCGAACGAAGAGAGGGAGACTCGGCCGGTCTCTGCCGTACAGTTATATAATTTCAAGTGCAAAGCATATTGGTATAGATTACATCATTACCTACGAAATTGCCGTTTACGAGCAGTAGATATACAGAAGTTCAATATACGACTTAAAGTCATCATGACTTGTGGGGCGCGGCGCGGTGTGGGGGGTGGGGGGGGTCCGCAGTCGGGTACCGTGAAATACGAAATGCTTACGATTGACTTCCACGGTGAAGAGATAACATTTTTTTATTGCCCTTGTAGGCAGACGAGCATACGGCCCACCTGATGGTGAGTGGTTACCGTCGCCCATGGACTTCAGCAATGCGAGGGGCAGAGCCACGCCGCTGCCTACCGCTTAATACTCTCCACAAGCCTTTTTTAAAGAAGGACATGTCATGGCGCTCGGGAAACACCGTGGGGGGAGCTCATTTCATAGCCGGATGGTACGTGACAAAAAATACCTCTGGAAACGCACTGTCGATGAACGCAGCAGTTCCAGATGATATGGATGAACCTGCTCCGATGGCGGAAGGTGCGATGATAATATCGTGAGTTAAAGGTCAACCCCAAAATTATAATTTCCGTTTTTGTTTTTTTATTGCTTTCATACGTGGAAGAGCTCACGGCCCACCTGGTATTGAATGGTTACCGAAGCCCATAGACATCCACAACGTAAATACCGCCACTCACCTTGAGACATGAGTTCTAAGATGTCAGTACAGTACAACAGCTGCCCCGCCCTTCAAACTGAAACTCTTTACTGCCGTAAACTATATACGATGCAGATGTCTATGGGCTCCGATAACCACTTAACACTAGGAGGGCAGTGAACTGCTAAGTCAGCGATAGATAGATTATCATCAGCTTTCACTATCGACTTTAATTCGTCGTTGATGACTTTAGTGTACCGGCGGCGGGGTTTTTAGATCATAATTTCCATGTCGGAAGCATTCAGACCAACAACGAGTCGTGTATTGGTTTGTAGAGTTCACTCCGCACACGTCAGTTTGTGCGGCATTACTACCGCGACGGAACTCTTATTCCATAATCACTCTTATTGCAAATGACACAAATGTAATGAAAACAAAATATTAATCAATAAACAAATGACTGAATATGAAAAGATAATTGTTTTAAAAATAAAATTCATTTGAATTTAGAAAGTATTGCGAGTCAATTAAAAATTAAGTTTCAAATGGCCAGCATTGCAAAACTTCATGGATAAGGTCCTACTACATGTATATGAAGAGTGAGGTGCAGTCACCTCGCAGGAGGCGGGACGGTTGACAAATTTTAACATCATACTACCACAAACAAATCCCAATTTTATAAAATGTCTCCATATTTTTGTAAATTTTCATGAAACTTTGCTAAATCAATTCTAAAATAAAATATAAATAGTTGGTGTATTTAAAACATTCGCAACATTGAACCGTCGAGCTCAGACGCAGGCTGGGTGCGGAGTATAGTTACCCGGATATTCCCTTTCCCGAGGAAGTAGGGCTTGGAGAGCGTGCAGACCCTGGTGGAGCGGTGCATGTAGACCGGCATGCCGCTGTAGTGTCGGACCATCATCCAATCCAGCGGAAGCACTTCGAAGTGGTTGGCGCCCTTGTCTGTAATAACGTTGGAGTTAACGTTAAACCCTCAGTTTGTTTTTCCTACCTATGCTGATAGCCTTGAGAGACTATTTCAGCTTCACCCTAACGTGTGTAGCTCATAGTGTAAGCTCACGGGGCTCGAGCCGGAGTGTTGCTAACACTAGCCCTAGCATGAGCCGTGCTTCGCAGAATCTACCACCGGATCCCAAACGCGAGCCACTGAGAAGATCCGGCGAGAAAACTCAGTGGGCTGTGTCCGTGGGTTAATTCGCTCGTCGAGCCCTTCGTCGCAGGCGATGGGTTCGACGAGGACGGTGACCGGTGCTTGTGGTGCCTAAAAGCACCGTTAATGGATCGGGATCGATCCGTAATGACGTGCTTTGGGAGACGTCGACTGTTTACCATTCGGTCTACAGTATTGGGTATGTAGCCCTCAAATTGCCGTTTTAATAGAATACCATTTATTTTTTTAGTTTTTATTATCACGGTAGTATACATTAAGTATACTCAAGCAATCAAATATAAAATTTAATAGATTTCTATGGTTGTCCGCTCATAGTTTAGAGCCTGGATTAACATATTTTAAAAGCAAACGTCATGATCCGCGCAACACCGAGTGTTTCTTGTCTAATAAATACGTCGGTGAGTTCGCTGGTCCGTACCTTCCAAACCGCGGAAACCGCGAGAAACGTTTAATACAGTAATCCTCCCTATAACACGGTAGATTGCTTCCGCGTTATAGAAAACACGCTGTAGCAGTATTCTCGCATAACGCGTTTGTATGACCCCATATAACGTGTTACGTACAAATAATTACAAATAAATAACAATATAACAAAATATTTTTACAATTCAAAAACTAGAAACACAATTTTAATAAATAAATAAAAACTGCTTAGATGAGTGGACGAGCTCACAGCCCACCTGGTGTTAAGTGGTTACTGGAGCCCATAGACATCTACAATGTAAATGAACCACCCACCTTGAGATATTAAGTTCTAAGGTCTCAGTATAGTTACAACGGCTACCCCACCCTTTAAACCGAAACGCATTACTGCTTCACGGCAGAAAATAGGCGGGGTGGTGGTACTTACCCGTGCAGACTCACAAGAGGTCCTACCACCAGTAAACAGAGTCCACCAAACGACCACTTTTCCTATATAGGTCTTTTTATTTTATTCACTTTTTGGAACAGTTTATTCCAATCAGTGACAGTCATCAAATTGACTTTTTATTTAATCATGTCGGTCACAGCTTTAACTACTCCAACTAACGTTCTCGCTGCTAACATGAAAGTATAGATAGTTTACTGTTAGTTAAAATTTGCAAATAATTTACATAATTGATGTTATTTTCTTTATGAGTATTGTTGGTACTTTACTACCTAACACTGTATATATGATTTCATTTTGAGAATAAAGTTTAAAATATTACATTATTAGAACATTATAATAATACTAAGTTGATAAATACTTACTAAAGACAATAGACAAACGGAGACCTCGATATTTTTGAACCAAGACTCAAGGGATTTGTCAGTTGTGTGAAGGATAGGAGGAAGGATATCCTATTTAACAATGGCTAGTTATCGATATTGAATGTGTGAGAATTAATCTTCATGTTATACCCTGGAGAGGGATGAAATTTTGTGTTGGTTGTATTGTAGTTGTCTACATACGTGGATACTTCGTATTATTTTTTTTTGCTTTTTTTCCCCTGGAACTCGTAATTTTATTTTCAATAACCAATGCAGAGGCTCGCTCGCTATGTACATTAATACAGGTTTGCTTAGTGCATATATTATTTAGACTGCAATCCAGATCAGACTTAGGTACTATTTGTACGATTTAGTTAATATGTAATGTACTATAATTATTGTGATTTGTTTTGTACATCAATAAAATATATATAAAAATTGAATGAGTTTGAAAAAAAAAAAGTGGGGCTATTAAAATTGGACAAAAGTGTAGTTTGCTGCAGTGATGCGCGTGCACAACACAGGGAACCAATCACAACTGACGGCAGGTGACGTGCCGCGGGTAGATCCAATCACGTAATCAATATGGCTTACGCACCCCCGTTCTTGCCTCGTTCCTCCAAACAGACCCAAAAATGGACTTCTGCGCATGTCAGTCAAGGTCAGAGCTCAAGACTCGTGCCGACTTATAAACTGTACAAATCATTATAAATTTCACAATACAGTAATAGTAAAACGTGCAAAATGCCCGCGTTATATGGGGTATACCCGTGTTATACAAAGGACTGAATTCGCGTAATATGAAAATCCGTTATAAGAGTACCGTGTTATAAGGGCTTAATGGAAGTGATATAACAGTGAGTGCCTATTTGGTGGAGTAAAATGTATTCAGTGCGCATTTAATTCGTATAACCAGTAATAATTCAGATATCACTATTCGCATCTTTTAATATATGTGGCCAGCCTTAATGTTAACTACGAATCATATTATGATACCTTCTGTAAAACACAGTTCAAGGATTGGCGGAAGAAGAGGTTGTTCGCTAAGTACAAGTACTCATTATTCCAAAACTATTTACTTCGATTATTCTAATAAAGCACTACCTACAGTTGTCGGCTTGACGCACCCTCTTGAGGGACACCCTGTATCTGATATACTTTTTAGATAGTTGGTTACGACTGAGATTTGGGGAATAAAAATATCGTTATGAATCAATGAATCGGTCACCTACCAATTTAAAATGAAACTGTAAAACTAATAGTAATTAGATGGGTAGGAGCCTGCCTTTTACAAAACACTGCACCGGTATCACACGACTCCCATATGCGATAGTTTCATACAATTGCCCATTGGGTGCATGGATACTGTGATGTGATTTAGACTACAAGAGATAACTTGTGAGGAGCCCAATAAAAACCATCTCTCACAATTCTCATGACAGGGCAGTGTCACCAAAGGAGTTATTGTATTGCCAGTGTTTGTTGAAGTCAATTAACTTACCTTCTAAAACAATTTTCTTTCCCATAACGTATGCCTTCTCCTTAGGTTTAGGAGCGCCCTTAAAGCCCTCCGGAAGATCTTCATCTAACATTTTCTCTATTTCATCTTCGGGCACACCTTCTGATTTTCCTAAAATATATTATTAATTAATAAAGTAGTAGACGACATTGTAAATAGTTACTTAAAATATACCTATTAAGTTAGAAAACAATTGACGAAATCATCACAATTTAATTGGGATTTTGCATAATTATCATGCCTATAACACTTCCTTCTTAACTATTCCTACAGCAAAGCAACCATGCATATGGATTCAACATTAGTATAGTTGAGCCTGTCGCCCTTCGCATCAACATTGGTGTGTCTATGGGTCTAAGAATGAAAGCTCATCAATCAATTTATGCTAATAAAAAACTTTAACCTTTGAATCTACATTAGTTGCAAGTGTTTTTGTATCTAAACACTAAGTTGTCTGTCAATATCATATATACATAATTACTGTAATAGGGCATGCTGTCAGCCTGAGCAAGTAGCCATATCAGCCCATTTTTGTTACAAAGCAGTTAGGTGTCAATTTAAAGTGTGGGCAGCTGTTATACAATACAATGGAGGCTCAACCTAGACATGTAATATAATACCTCATATTTTTAATGGGTGACAGTATTCACACATGAGATGTCTATGTGCTCCAATAATCACTATATTTCAGGTGAGCCATGAACTCGTTCATCAAATTTTGCTATATAGACAGAATGCAGGTAAAATACTGCATTATCTTTCTCCTAAGTTGTGTTAAAACCTTGAGTATTCAAAATTGTAATGTTTCCACTCTGTTGTGTATTCTACCATTAGCAATTACTCTGTATAGTAAAAGCAACAATACTTTTTTATTGTATATCCGCTGAACTGATTTGACCTATCTACTATTTGTTATAAGGAATCACTTGATTTTTATTTTTGTGGGTTTTAATTTTTTACTTCACATAACACTTCTAATGCATGCACTTACTCAATATTCAATAGATTCAAGAACAACACCGAAACATAGTTAATAAGGAGCCTACCCTCAGTGGACTCTGTATCCTCATCATTACTATCTTCTTCGTTGGACTTCACCTCATCTAGAACTTTGAATTCCCGCAGCTGCTGCAGCTCAGTAGGGGTCACATAATCAGTATATTTATCAGTACTTATCTTAAAGTCTTTGTTATTATCTACAATGGACACATCTTGAGTGAAATCAACATCTTCTACGGAATTGTCCACCTTTGGCTTCTTCGCTGGTGGCAAATGCTGATCTTCCTCATTCATTTTATTCTGTTTAAAAATGTGCGTTCATTGAAAATGTTTTTAATGAAATAGGAACACATTAATTTATCTTCAACATACCATGTTGGGCATAATCCATTAAATTACATAAACTAAGATACATGTTGATAACAATAACTTTACAATTCTGACACTAATGAATTTTACACATTACTTTCAAACTGCTGAAAAATAGGTATATGTAATAAACCTTTTTACTCTTGAGAGGTTTTCAATAAAATAAATTTGGAACAGTCCATGTTATAAAATTTGTTTTATATCCTGATTTTAGCAGACTTAGTAACTAGATATTGACATTCTCAAAAAAAAATAAAAAAAATCTTACTATTAATTTTTTGTTACTAAACAATGATGGTAAAAGAAAATAATGCTCTACAAAATGTCATTTTTAAAGTTCATCAAAAATGTGAAAATATTCTTTTGCTAAGAAGCTACTTATATTATTTTGTGTTGCATTCAATTTCTAAATTGGACTAGTTTGAGGTGCATTTCTCAGGATTTTTTTGTATTACAATACTCAAATCAAATAGACATTTAGAGGCACTTTCACCTCAGCGTACAGAAATTAACTAAATACCCAAAGTGATGTAACACAGTCCACAGATAGCGATGGCACTTAAAATCCTATGTGTTCTAACAGTTGGATTTCAGCCATCACTTGCTGTAAACCTTAGTTAGTAGCGGGACCGAGAGCAAGATGTGCAAAGCGGCCATGAAGACTTCAGCAGGATTGCGACAGACCAGAACCTCTGATATAAACACCGAGTCTAGTCTGTAGCAAAACCGCAACGTTACAGGACGACTGGACTCTATACCTCCTTAACCGCTCCCGGGCAGACGCGTTCCTGTAGAATTTCTGTTGCTATCCTTCAAAACGATCAAACACTGCATTAAAGAAAATGCAAATTATGACCTGGTTATAAGCGTATGTATTCACGATACATATTTCGACAAAAACCTATAAGTATGTAAATCAGATGTGGCTTGGTGATAGCTTATATTCATTGTTAGAGACAGTAAATTTCAGTTTCATTACTAGTACCGTACGTTATGTGCGAGATACTTACGCTCGTGACTGAAAAGGTTAATCAATAATCAATAAAACATGTATTTAGGGAAATCTGATAAACTTATTTTGCAACCACACACCGTCGAAAACGGCTAGCGTGTCTGAGCACTTAGTAAAATAGTGTTGAATGAATATGGTACCGTACCGACTTTTAGGAAATAACGATAAATTTTCAGAAGACAAGAGCTATCCTCGTTTTTTTAGGGAACTTTATGACCTGGTAACTAAGACCTATAGGTTAAATCCTCAATTTTTTAAGGGATTTTACGACCTGGTAACTAAGACCATTAAGTCAAGTCTTATTTTATTTGTAATGAAAACTTTTTTATATAAAAATGATATTATGAAATGAAATGAAGTTCATTAATATGAAACATGGCATGAAATGGAATGAAACGAAATGGAAACGAAATGAAATGAAATGAGATGAGATGATATGGGATGAAATATAATTTCAGTAAAATAGTGGTCATTTACTGAAATTTTTCCAGTGGGCTTTTTGGAGGATCCCGAGAAGTCAAGCCCAGCAGCGTTGTTTCATTTTCCTACATTTGTGCACTTTCACAGATATTAAACAGTTAATAAACCACAATTATTACACATTTAAACCTGAAGAAACACTAAATAGACAAAATAAAACAAATCACACAACTTCACTCTCGCGTTCCCGCCAAAAAAAACTACAGGCTACAGACTACCTAATATATTAATTTGTGCAAACTACTAAGAGGTGCTTACGCATAAATAGTACCATGTGCACGCATGCATATGAAGGGTAGACCGGTCATCGTCCTGTCGAACCCGTCGCTTGCGACGAAGGGCTCGACGAGTAAATTAACCCTCAGACACAGCCCACTGAGTTTCTGGTCGGATCTTTTCAGTGGGTCGCGTTTCCGATCCAGCGGTAGATTCTGCGAAGCACGGCTCTTGCTAGGGTTCGTTTTTTTTTTTTATTGCTTAGATTGGTGGACGAGCTCACAGCCCACCTGGAGTTAAGTGGTTACTGGAGCCCATGGACATCTACAACGTAAATGCGCCACTCACCTTGAGATATAAGTTCTCAGATCTCAGTATAGTTACAACGGCTGCTCCACCTTTCAAATCGAAACGCATTACTGCTTCACGGCAGAAATAGGCAGGGCGGTGGTACTTAACTGCGCGGACTCACAAGAGGTCCTACCACCAGTAACGTGTTACTACGTGTTAGCAACGTCATCAGGTTTGAGCCCCGTGAGCTCACCTACTAGTTAAGGCTACGCTGATATAGCCTCTCAAGGCACTCAGCTTAGGTAGGAAAAAAAGAAATGTACCATCTTGTATAGAGGACAAGCAAAAAAGTGTCTACCTGTAAACAACAAATTATTGTTGTAAGACTCACCCAAATAGCGCTAGTGGAGGAAGTGGAAATAATATGAGTATAGCAGTTTTAAACAGAGTGCAGTGTGCTTGAATTGAATTGAAGTGTGGTTAAGGCGCTGTTTTTAATCGTTCTACTTGCTACTATGGCGCCACCTTGTTTGCTCTCTTTCAGCGGACACTTTTTACACTGAGATAGTGCTCGTTACTTCTACTCTCCTTAATAGTATGGGTATATTCAAATCACAGATAGAATCATATATAACACACTTAACAGGATAATAGGACAGAACCTCTACGTGGCACCCGAAACAAACGACGTACGGATTTGAAATTCTATGTTCACTAATTAAAGAGAAATAGAAGCTGTTCTATATGTGGTCGTGGTGCGCACGAACTATTCGCCATTAATCTGAGACATTACACGTATAAACCTAAAAAACAATTAAATTAACTTGTTTGATCATTAAATTGTGACCTCAATCACGTTTTTCTTAAGTTTGTGTTCATATTGCAAGTGCACCCAGAGGTACTGAAAGCTGTCTTTTGGCCAAATAGCAAGATTTGACTCGGACACGAGCGTGGCTACGTCGAAGGTCAAAATACTTGAAAAGCATGAAACGAGACAATTCGCTACGAAGGAAAAGCAATTCAAAATAGTGATAGAGTGCCATATAGTACGGTGAACTAAACTGACTACTAGTGCGTATTAGATCCTAGTGAAATCGAGTCAATGTGACTAGGTATCATCAGTTTGGTGTAACCTGTTCAATAGTTTGCGTTGAGAACCTCAGTCCTGGCAATAAAATTGCGTCTTCGAATTCATAATATAGGTACATGTGTATTCAATAGTCAATAGCTTTTACTACATGGGATAAAACTTAAGCGAATGCAAGGATTAGGGCCAAAAAACATACAAACACTCTTTTTTATTTATTTATTGTTCTTCAATTCAGAGCTAGTTTAAAACATTGGAACAAATAAATTTAATTATCTCAGCAAAACACACATATTATTATGTAATAAATCAAGTACATAGTCTTCTAAACATTTATCACAGAATTTTTCACATTTACATACTAATGTTCAAGATTACAAAGGAAGGTGTTGGAGCTCGCGGCGGGGCGGGGCGGGGCGGGGCGCGGCGACGGCTGCGTGGCCCTACCGGCGACGGCGGCGCGGCGCGGCGGGGCGGGGCGGCACGGTCAGCGTGGCGGCGGCAAGCTCGTCGCGCGACACGGCGCCGGACCGCTCCAGCTGCGCTCGCGCCTCCACAAAGAACATCACGTCGCGGAGTTGCTCCTTCAGATCGCTTACCTGCACACACGAACACTCAGTCCATGAGAGGCGGATTTCAAAAGTCGTGGTGGAGTTATGGATATTATAACGAATTACAGACTAAGCATAAGTTAGTAGCAACTTAATATCATCGTTATGACGGGTGAGCCTCCCCTTTACATTTATCGAGATAATCCTCTAAAAAAAGAGGAAGTACAGAATGGAGTTTAGGGGAAATCTATTTCCATTTATTAGGAGTTCGTTACATAAATATTTTGTCTTATAATAAAACGCTTAGCGAAAGTATAAACCAATATTAGTTAAATAATTATTAGCCTATCGAACGTTTTATAAAATTCTTAACTTAATAACGTTTTGTATCAAAATAAAAAAGTCCCATTACTCCTATGCCCCGTTCCCACCAAAAGACAAATGCCGTTATAGTGTGCGCTCGCTGACGCGGCGCTGTGCTGATGTTACATCGTCCCGTCCCGAAGACTTGTTCAATATTGTTCCCATTTTTATAACGTGCGAAGATAACTTAACTGAAAAATGTTTTTTTTTCTATTTAATCAAATCATCCAAACTTAGCCCTACCGGACCAGTTGTCTCGAGTGTCACCGCGGCGACCCCACCGAGGACCACGGGCACATCTACTAATCGACGCTAAACGTGGAGCAAACCTCTTTAGTGAAATTCTCCTCCTTTTCTTTAGCCCTGGCCTGCCACTCCGACTGGCTGCTGGCCATGGCCGCCGCCAAGCCCCTCTCTTCCGTCAACTCGTTTTGGAGAACCGATAATCTGGGAATTAATTTACGATATCACATGGAAACGTACTAGAGTTGTGCGAGTGTCCACTGGAGTCGGATGCGGAGCTGTTAATTTATACAAAGTTGTAAGTAATTCGTAGCGTTTGCAGTAGAATATTTATGTTGAAACAGCTGTACTAGGTGTCATGTTCATAAAATCTTTTGTTTTAAAGTGTAAGTAACAATAGGTACCCGAGTTAAGGAACGTGTCAACATTCATGCCGAACTATGTTATTGGCCTTCGAACCGTTATTTTCTTTTTTAGAGACAATTTTTTTAAATTTGAATATTTCAATTCTAATGATTTATAAATAACTACAGAACCACATATATTTAATATTCCTTTCAATGAGTTTAAAATGTGACTGTGTAGACCCTAACCCGGGTGCGGAGGCTGCTCTGGTGTGTAGTGTGCTACAGTACGGAGACTGGTTACTTGTTGGTGAGCTGCTGCAGTTTCCGGTCGAGTTGTTTGTTGCGGGCCGTGAGGTCGTCGACCTGCGCGGCGAGGTCAGCGGCCCGGGCCTCGGCGGCGCGCGCCCGCCCCTGCAGCGCCGCCCGCTCCGCCTCCCGCTCCCCCTCCAGCCTGCGCGCACAACGTCACACGTCACATCGCGGCATGTCGCCCGGGGGAACGGACGCTGGAGTGCCACTACAGTAATTGCGATGCCAATAGGACTGGACTTGATGATGCCGGTCGTTGTGGTTACGATAACATACAATAAATAAAAATATTTTTGGGCCCGGGTGTACCCGACACCCGGACTGTCAAGTCTCGCACACCCCGCACGCCCCCTACATGTCCACACTCCGTATGTGGTTCGCCCCCCTGTCCAAATAAGGGACCGTTCGTTCCGAGCTGCTGGGTCTAAAGGGGTTTGACCTCTTTCATATGTGCCGTGTGTTTGTTGGGGTGTACTCTGAGGATTTTGTAAAACGATCCCGACTCGGAGGCGTCGGCGACCCCCACCCTCAGTAACAGCTGTCCTCGGCGGTCTGCAGCAGCTCGTTTGTGCTCGCAGCATTGCTATAGCGCATACGTGACTGACCACTCACGGAGAGGGCGGCGCGCTCGTGCCACCGAAGGACAAGAGAAACTAAAAATGTAAAAGTACTAACTTGGCGATTTTCTCCTCGTAGTGAGTGCGTTGCGTGTCCAGTTGCTCGGTGAGTATGTAGGTGAACTCGTGGTCGTGCTTGCCCCCGCAGGCGCCCTCGGACGCCACCAGCTTGCCGTCAGACTTGTTCTGCACCAGTCGGTGTACGAAGTTGTCTCCTAATTGTCAAATATTCATATACAGCACAGTGCAGTACAACTTGTCATCGCCCCGCTGAGGGCGGTGCGGAGGAGTGCTGACCTGCGTAGTCCCAGACCCTGTTGGAGCCGAGCTGCAGCGCGTACGTGTGGTTGGACTGCAGGAAGTGCTTCGCGGCGTGGCCCCCTTCGTACCTGTCGTTGATGTCATATCATTACGAAACCAATCTTAAGTGACACACGAGACACTTTAGTTCCTATGAAACGATCTTACATTAGTGAGCGAAGTAGTGATTCCTATTTAATATTAATGACTCTTATTTAAAATTACTAAATATAATTATTTTTGTGTGTATTAACATCCAAAAATCTATTTCTACTTATGTTACATCTTTGAACATTGAGCTGAATTCAGTAAAATATTAGATAGAACCAGTGATATCGCTGTTTAGCATACAACATATAATATTTTTATCTCTATAAATCAAAATATACATCCATGGCATCAATGCATCTCCTCCGAAGCGACTGGTAACTGTTTAATGTCCTTCTTGAGGAAGTCAAGTGTACGGGAGCCAACAAACTCTTCAAAGGCACTTTGCACTACCTCTCGGGTATTGAATTTTTTCCCGACCAAGGAGTTCACCAAACTTTGGAAAAGTAGAAGTCTATTGGCGCAAGGTCTGGTGCGTGCGATGGATGATGTGAAACTCCCAACCCTAGCTTAGAGACCCTCTGTTCTTAATGCTTGAGGTCGAGCGAGCGAGCGACTGATCAAGGCTGCCCGGAGATTCGCTTCTCCACCATTGTCTCCAGTTCCTCGCAGTACACATCACACACACACACACACCAAACGGCCTTTCTAAATGAGATTTTTTAGAGGTATGTTTTCGTTTGAAGCACTGCCTAGCGACTTGACCAGGTTCCAACTAACGTCATGACCGCTTACGATTATCAAAAGGATCCCGTTTTCTGTTCCCCGTTTCCCGCTGGCGATCGTTCAGTTCATGCGACACCCACTAATCAAGTTTTACCTTACCTTTCCAATTTAACGCAAATAAACCAATAAAGTTTTGATGCTAACGTTGAAAGCTGCTACTAAGTCAGCGATAGATAGATTATCGTCAGCTTTCACTATCGACTTTAATTCGTCGCTATTGGCTTTAATTTACCGGTGACCACGGGGTTTTTAGATCATAATTTCCATGTCGGAAGCATTCGGACCAACCACGAGTCGTGTATTGGTTTGTAGAGTTCGCTCCGCACGCGTCAGTGATGTTACAAACAGTTTCTACGGCATTACTATCGCGACGGAACTCTTATTGCAAATGATACGAATGCAATGAAAACAAAACACTAATCAATAAACAAATAACTGAATATGACAAATAATCCAATATTTTAAAAATAAAATAAGGTTAGTTATAGTTAATTTATGAAATAATTTATAGATATACATAAACAGGGTGTCCCACAAAGGCTACATGAAGGGGAAATGTGGCTATAGCATTAACAATGTAGATCACGATAAAAATGTTAAAAAAATCTAAGTCATAATTATGTAGTAGTTTCGTGCAAAAAATAATTTATTAATTGTTTCAACTGTTCGATGACGGCCCTGGATTTATACAACAAGTTACAGGTGCCGTGTTACTCCGATGGAAGTTAAGGACGTCGCAAGACTCGCGGTTCCGGCGGTACATCTAACCGCGTCGTCAAACTTCTACCCGCCCAACTCATCGTGATGTTGGCATCTATTTTTAAAGCCGCTATGTCTAACTGCATCTTTCTGACACCTGACATCTGCCTCGTGCCTGAAGGCTCCGCGCGTGCCCGAGTGAGCGGGCGTCGACTCGCCATGCTCCGGAAACGGATTTATATTCCATGATGATTTGTAGCTGTTGCTTGAAGCTACTTAAGTTACGAGGGCGGGATGATAAGTAACTAGCCTCTACTATTTAAAAAGTTAAAATTAAAAAATATCTAAGTCATTTTTAAATTCGTATCTCTGGCCACCTGTGTTCTAAATTTGAATTCGGTGGCGTGAAAATTTTATTGATTTTTTGTCATTTGAAAATATATTTCGTCAAGTGTTTTCAAAATAGATAAAATTGAACAAAGAGCAGTGATAAAGTTTCTTCATGTGAAGGGCATGAAGGGGAAAGATATCTATGACGAGTTAAAGAATGTTTTGGGTGAATGTGCTCCTTCTTATGCCACAGTAAACATCTGGGTGGATGAGTTTAAACGCGGTCGTACATGTGTCCAAGATTAAGCCCGCCCCGGACGTCCAAAAAGCGTCACGACTCCGGAAATGGGCGTGAAAGAACATGATATAGTTTTAACAGATCGACGATTGAAGCTATCTGAAACAGCTGACACTACGGGTATCTCAAAAGAACGGGTACATCATATCCTAAGTGAGGAATTAAATATGTAAAAGTCATCGGCCCGATGGGTGCCGCGATTGCTTACGCACGATCAAAAAAGAATTCGGGTGCAAAACTCAAAAGAATGTCTGGACCGTTTCAGAGTAATAAAGCCGATTTTTTACGTCGATTTGTAACAAATGAAACATGGGTTCATTATTACACGCCAGAATCAAAAATTCAATCAAAACAGTAAATGCAATCGGGATGCCTGGCTCCAAAAAAGCCATGGCTGTAAAGTCGGCTGGAAAAATGATGGCTTCCGTCTTTTGGGATGCAGATGGGATCTTGATGATAGATTACCTTCCTAAAGGTCAAACGATTAATGGAGAATACTACGCTAATCTTCTAGATAATTTCAGTGTATTCAGCGAAAACGGCAAGGTTTGGCGAAAAAAAATATCATCTTCCACCAAGACAACGCTAGGGTTCGCACATGTGTTAAAGCTATGGCAAAAATCAACGAATTGAAGTATGATTTTCTGCCCCACCCACCTTATTCGCCTGATCTAGCTCAGACTTCCACTTATTCCCTAAGCTCAAAACTTTTTTGAGCGGACAGAAATCTGCCACAAATCATGAAGTCATAGCCGCTGTAGAGGAGTATTTTGCAGGCCCCGAAATAAATCATTTTATGGTAGGCACTACTGTTTTAGAACGAAGATGGAATAAGTGCGTAGAGGTTCACGGAGACTATGTCGAAAAATAAAATTAATTTTATCATGGAAAGTTAAGAGTTTCATTATTAGGCTAGTTACTTATCATCCCGCCCTTGTACCGTTAATATCTAACAAATGTTTTAATTGAAATAAATAAGTCCACTCATGCGCTAAGAGGCCGTACCTCCCACATCCCACGTGTCCACAGATGAGGCATATCCAGAGCGTGCCCTCCTCCAGCCCGTCCACGAGCCCCTCGGCGACTCCGCTGAGGTTCTCGCGGGTGTCGTCGCCTTCCTCGTCTGTTGGACAAATCGCATTCACATTCCGTTTGCCAGAAGCTCCTCCGCAGTACTACGAGACGAGACCGCACAGGAAGTCAGGATGGCGGATCCCACCCGCGCGTCCTCACGACACATTCTACGACCGGTCAAGAAATCTACTTCAATTTTCAAAGGAGAATGCCCATTGCAGTATGGAATTTGGTTTCAAGTTGTGCTCTCATGTAACTTACCTCATTTTGTAGGGTTTAATATGTTAATTCATTTATAAAAAAATATATATCTCTAGTTCGCCGGAGTTTCTAGTAAAAGGCCAATGAAGTTTATAGAATTAGGTTATTTTTTGTACAAGACAGCAGTGAATGTTTTTTGATTATGCTGAGTTCCTACATACTTAACAACATACGTATAAAGTATTTTATTAATGAAAACATGTTTATAGTATAAACTTATTTACCTAGCATAGTATTGTGTGGCTAGGGCCACTACGTCCATTGGTTATGTAAAGGTACTATTACGTCAATTCAAAATAAAACAAAAATAGACATAAAATAATTTATTTCTCATATTATGCCGATGTATCATTATACCTAGCTCAGCCCAGCCTAACATGGACACAACAACCCACAGTTCGATTGCCAACGAGATAGCTGTAGTAATAACTAGGGATTGTATTAATAGTATTAGCAACGTTTTCATCGCGATTAATTAATGTGTACGTATAATACATAAATTAATTCTGGCCCCAATATGCCTGGACTTCTGTCTAACAAAATAACGAATATGACCGAACGAAACACATGATTTAAAACTCAATCGGAAACATGAGAAACGGCGGCCGGCGCCAGTAAATCAAAATATTATTATTTATTTTTATTTTATTTTTATTTATTTTTTTATTTTATTTATTGGGTACCAACATGTTATACATCAGCACAGAACATTACAGGTATCATATACATTGATTTCACACTAAATGCTAACACAATTACAGGTACCGACTGCATGCATAAAAAAAGCGGTTCATTATATAAAAAACAAAGAAAAACTATATATAACATTACATGAAGACCTTAATACACATTTACTACCAAATACGCTATNTCCCTACTACGTGATGTTTGCTGGATGAGTGGTGACACCTGGCGGGGATAGCTGATCGATTGATAGTTGATCAGTAGTCGACCGGCGAGGGCGGGAGATCAAATTCAATTTAAAAAAAATCATAATTAAAAGAACTTGAAATTATAAACTCTGAATAAGAATTTATCGTACTACAATTATAATATTTGATTGCCATCTTACAACCTTATTGCGGATCTGTGCATAGAATAAAAAAAATATTAATTGGGATGGAAAAATAGGGGTTGATCGTATAAGAGTGAAAATTGAGAGTAATATGATTTTTTTTATTTTAAGTCATGACAAAACAAAATAAAAAACTTGCCAAAAAAATTAAAGTTTATAATTAACAAATAAAAAATAGGGGTTGATCATAGAGGGATGAAAAATTGAGAGTAACATCAGATTTTTTATTTTAATTCATGACCAAATAAAAATAAAAATGAAAATCTTGCCAAAAAAATTAAAGTTTATAATTAACAAATAAAAATAGGGGTTGATCGTAGAGGGGTGAAAATTTCAGAGTAATATGAATTTTTTTATTCTACGTCATGACAAAATGAAAACAAAATTCTCGCAAAAAAATTTAAAGTTTTTAATTAGCAAATAAAAAATAAGGGTTAATCGTAGAAGGGTGAAAATTTAGGGTTGTATGTATTTTTGTATGCTGTATCATAAAAAAATAAAAACAAAAATTTTTGTCTAAAAAATAACAAAAAAATTTAGGGGTGGACTACCCTTAACATTTAGGGGGATGAAAAATAGATGTTGTTCGATTCTCAACCCTGACCGATATGCACGCTAAGATTCACGAAAATCGGTCGAGCCGTTTCGGAGGAGTATGGCAACGAAAACTGTGACACGAGAATTTTATATATTAGATAGATATCAATAAATAAACCTATGGAGATAAAATAAGTGTACCTAAACAGCTAGTCTAGAAGCCGGAAGAGGTAATTCATTCAGGTTTGAATAGTGGGGCAGCCGTTGTACTGTAGATCTGAGACTTGTCTTATGTCTCAAGATGGGTTGTGGCATTTACGTTGTAGATGTCTATGGGTTCCGGTAACCACTTAACCCCGGGTAACCCGTGAGCTCATCCACCCAACTAAGCAATAAAAAAAAGAAATTTATATGAAATTGTTGTGTTGGTAGCCTACAAGACCGCCTATTTATAAGACGTCCTACAGTCAGTAATAAAGTCCATGATTTCAGTTTTTTAAAGCTTATTAATGTTTTTAATGTTTAACTCTAACTTGTAAATTAGTACATACTTTATGGGTATGCCCGCAAATCGCAAATCGACCTTGGCTTTTTTCACTATGTAATTCATTCGAGTACAGAGGCTCTGCCAATTCCTTGTGTTTGTAGTAGCTTAACTGAAATTATAATTAGAAAGTTTAATCTTTTTAAGTGATTTCCTTCAGGGTGTATGTATAAATATATATGTGTATATGCTGAAGAATGGGCCGATATCTTCATTATTTCTTAACATAGTAGACGTATGGTGGATAGTCGTGCAAAGAGATTCCGGAACACGTTACGACGACAGTTCCGAGATGTCTTCATTCTTCGTCTTTAAGTCAGGCAATGAATATGGTTCGATTCCACCGGAGCGATGACACCTTGGCTTTGCCGAAACACACCACCAGAAGTTAGCCGATTTTTGACGAGTAGTTGCGGCTCACACTCACTAGGTGGCACGTTTTCGCTTCGTTTGTCGTGTCCGGTTGCGACTGTTGCGTGAACTATATATCCGTAGATCGCTGGTTCATATCCGACTCGAAGGACCATATCGTGTTACGTTTTCCAGCCAGTGTTACGTTTTTTAGCCGCCAAGAGCAACATCGACATACGAGTAGGTATATACTAAAATTAAAATTCTACTCGTTGTCTAACAGTTCTCAATTCTAAAACTGGTTGAGTTTAACATGGTATTTTTACGAACAAAAATATTCACAACACTCTATTGCACACCAGCCGAACAAAAATTGAACAGAAATTCGTGTCGCGTTAGCGTTTTTAATACCGACCGTTTCACAGTGAAATATTATCAGAAGCGAGCTGTACCCCGGTTTATCGTCGACTTGGAAGTAATTTATTTAATGAGCGAAGCATCGTTCCTAGCGTTGGCACTCTCGTCCGGATTTACGCTGGATGAAGTTTATTGGGTGAAGACTTATTTCAACTATGTAGTTATAAATAATAGCTTCTCTTTCGATTCAAGGAAACGCCCTTAAGTCTTACATTTTGAGAGGTTTAATTTTGACATCATGGCGAAATGGCTGATGAAGTATTTATTATATTGGAGTTATGTAGGGTCAACTATGTGCAGTTAAAGAGTTTAGACTGTTTTATGGGATGATTTTGCTAATTATTTAACCATGTAACTGCGTCATGAATGTAAGGCCATAACTGGAAGTAAACATGGAAATACCACGCTGCCCAGTAGTAATAAATATCGGTGTTTAAACCAATGACCCTCAAAAGTAGCTACAACTAATTGAAATTTTTATTTTTTATTAATTACATGGATGGGTGGACGAGCTCACACTCCACCTGGTGTTAAGTGGTCACTGGAGCCCATATACATCTACAACGTAAATGTGCCACCTACCTTGAGATATAAGTTCTAAAGTCTCAGTATATCGAATCGCGCAGGCGGGTACCAATTTTTCTAATGAAATACGTACTCAGCAAATGTTCACGATTGACTTCCACGGTGAAGGAATAACATCGTGTAATAAAAATGAAACCCGCAAAATTATAATTTGCGTAATTATTGGTGGTAGGACCTCTGGTGAGTCCGCGCGGGTGGGTACCACCACCCTGCCTATTTCTGCCGTGAAGCAGTAATGCGTTTCGGTTTGAAGGGTGGGGTAGCCGTTGTAACTATACATGAGACCTTAGAACTTGTATCTCAAGGTGGGTGGCGCATTTACGTTGTGGATGTCTATGGGCTCCAGTAACCACTTAACACCAGGTGGGCTGTGAGCTCGTCGAACCATCTAAGCAATAAAAAAAAAAAAGTTACAACGGCTACCCCATCCTTCAAACCAAAACGCATTGCTACTTCACGGCAGAAATGGGCGGGATGGTGGTACCTACCCGTGCGGACTCAGAAGAGGTTCTACCACCAGTATAAAAAGGGGCGTTTATTACGACGCTGAGCAATGATGGAACAAAAAGTTTTTAGCACATTGCTATATAATTTCATACTATGACATTAAATTTCATTCACACACTTGTTTCAAGGAACTTTCAACCCGCTAGTACGACTACAATTCTAAGCGTTTGAATTTTCATATCAGCAGCCAAAGCAAATAAACACAATGGAACACGCTGCGTTACACAAGTAGAATTGTGTATTGAAATGTATTCGTGTTTGCGAGTGCATATCGCCGGCAAACACATAAGCTACACGGATTGAACTAGTAGGTCAACACGCTGAGTTCCGATGCTGCGTAAATCTTGGATGAAGCTTCACTAAACCAGCGATTTGATGCATCAGTAAATTCATATTCATATTTGTAGGCAGCGGCTTGGCTCTGCCCCTGGCATTGCTGAAGTCCATGTGCGACGGTAACCACTCACCATCAGGTGGGCCGTATGCTCATCTCCCTACAAGGTTAATAAAAAATAAAAATAAAATCATATTCCCTTAGTCGGTTCTTACGACTCCCTGGGATAGTATAGGTATGGTGACATTTTTTTTCCCCTACCTATGCTGATAGCCTTGAGAGGCTATTTCAGCTTCACCATAATATGTAGGTGAGCTCACGGGGTTCAAACCGGTAGTGTTGCTAACACTGGCCCTAGCAAGAGGAGTGCTTTGCAGAATCTACCACCGCATCGGAAACGCGGCCCACTGAGAAGATCCGGCGAGAAACTCAGTGGGCGATGGTGACATATTGTATTTATAATATTATAAACGCGGAAGTTTAAGAATGTATGGCTGTATATTTGTTACACTTTCACGCAAAAAGTACTGAATAAATTTTGATCAAATTTTACAATAGTATAACTCGCACATCAGAATAACGCATAGGCTATAATTTATAAAGGTGTAGTATGAATTACCCAAAATATATTGATAAGTATAAAGTAAGAAGGAAAAATCTGCCATGTGTGAGCTATTTTGACCATATGTATTTATATATTATACATCTTTTTTTGTTGTGTTTTTTACTGTCAGGGCCAGATTTGTATATAAGAAAATGTAATAAGATTAATAATAATAAATTACTGTTTCCGAAGCAAAGCGAAGGCGGGTTGCCAGTGCTTAAATCTTTCTATGAATGTTCCAATTTAATGGCCCCAAATGGCGTAGTCGCTTACATTAAATACGGAACACAATCCGATCGGGCGGCATCGCGTGCCGTAGCAACTTAATGGACTATTAGTAGACATACTCTATCACATAATGTAAGGAGAATGTATGAGCACGAACAATGCAGTGATTAAGATGTTCATGTGTATAGAAACGGTGCGAAGATATCAGAGATCCATTTTTTTGTTGTCATAACAATGTTGTTGCTGTTGAATAGAAACTAATACAGGGTGTAGAAAAATCGTAAAATCAGTCGCAATACTGCTGCAACGTGAATAAGATATTTTTTTTATATAAATTTCCTACCTATTTACTGGTAGCCTAAGAGGCTATTCTAGCTATGTCCGGACAGGCAGGTGACCACTGTCGCCCCTGCTGCCCCTACAGAGTTCTGTCTTGGGTGAGATCGGACGTTCGGATGAGAGTGCAGGGGAGTCGTTTAGTGGGTGGCGTTGACAGTCACATATACATATATATGCATCTCGCGAGGATTCCAGCAGCCTAAAAATTCCCATTCCCTTTATTGGGCCAATAGGGCTGGCCCAAGTACAGCCACATGCGTTACCTTGTGAAATCGACACTGTGCGGCGACTGATTTTTATTGTATTACATTGCGTCATAAAATATCGAATTTAAAAGCCAATTAGAGCGTATTATTATAATAGGTATTTTGCAAAGCATTACTTTTACTGTATTATTTTCGGAAATAAATATACAGCAGTCGGACTTGGGATACAGTGTGGTTGTTTATTGTTGTATTTTTTTATGATTGAACGATTACTGGTGGCCCGGAGGTTTTTCTAGTTTCATCAGGACAGGTGGGCGAGCAAAGGCTCAGTCAAGAGGGGTGGGATTGGCTAACAGCTGCCCGAGCGCTTCCGAAGGAGACCTAACAGCTCAAGAGCAGCTGCTTCGCGAATGAATCCACTACTGCTCCTAGTGTTAGAGCTGAAGGCGTCGTTTATTGTTGTGTGTTCAAGTCAAACGTTGCTGTTTGAGGCTTGACTTGTTCACAAAGGGGCTGAAGCTCTCTCTGTCTCTTGTCGTGTATAACTGACTCTAAACTCCCGCTAAAAGGCAATTTTAAATGATTTTATTTATTATACATGATAATAAATTGGTTGTATTACGATTTGTATATTGTGTTACAATGCTTTTGTGTGCCGATGCAAAGTATTAAATAAATATTATTTGTCATTCGATTTAGGAGAATCGTTTTCACATTTTTAGTTTGAAATTCGTGTACAATAAATAATTTATATTGAGAATTTCATTTGAATCTATCGTAACGTTCAGTAATGGAGGAATTAATCCCGAAAATACACAAACTTCAGTATTGTTGAATTTTGATTTCCATTTAAATTTAAATGCGCTTTCTGTCTAACGCCGAAATGAATTACGGCCTTTCAGTATAAACAAACTTATTTTCACTGAGGTTTTTTTTTCTAATTTTAATTTTTCATACGCCTTTACCAGTGAAGTCAAATTCTTACAGTACCTCATAGAATCCCTAAAAGTTACAGCGATTTATAAAACATCGCGCATCAATGGTCCACTGTCGACATATGTGTTGTTAGTGGTAGAACAAAAGACCGAATCCTGTATTCTGTCGATAGTTCCGCTTACGTATTATGGCATAAATAAGTCGTCTCTATAATTATCAGGATGAGCCTGGTATTTTATAATTATCTTAAAGATAATATTGTTACGCTCTGGGGTTCGGGATAAATAAATGTTCCACCAAAGTACAACTAAAAACTGTATTCAACACTTAAACACTTCACAAACACATTAAAACTCTCAATTCGCTTCTTCCGCTTCGCTTCAGGTGATCCGTTCGCTGTTTCGCTTCGAGTAGTTCCGATTACTGTCTGACTGCGTGCCATCTCTACAACGCTTTATAGCCGATACTCATACCTAGAACTATCGAGAATATTCCACACATCTCTAGTAGTACTTCACGCTATCTGACAATAGATGGCGTTGTACTAGAGCGTTCTAGGTGCTACTAGATCCTTCGATATTCGTTCGAATATTCGGCGATAGATGGCGTTACTCTTACCGACGTAGCAATATGTTAGTTACAGTTTTATCAATTTATTTATTATTTTACCTGATGAGCAGACGACCTCACTGTCAATACTGATAGGCTATCGTTAAATCATCCGCGTCGATTTTTAAACAAAAATAATATTCTTATTACATTATTACATTATTATACTGGTGGTAGGACCTCTTGTGAGTCCGCGCGGGTGGGTACCACCAACCTGCCTATTTCTGCCTTGAAACAGTAATGCGTTTCGGTTTGAAGGGTGGGGCAGCCGTTGTAACTATACTTGTGACCTTAGAACTTATATCTCAAGGCGGGTGGCGCATTTACGTTGTGGATGTCTATGGGCTTCAGTAACCACTTAACACCAGGTTAGCTCGTCCACCCATCTAAGCAATAAAAAAAAGGTATATA